GAGTTTTCGAAGGCCTCTGTCATGGAAAGTACCAGCACATGAAAATTGTAAAGCGGTAGATTCCCATCTAATTTACTGGCTTCCCAGATCACACAATAAGGCAATGCAGGTGAAATATATGTGAAAAAACAATAACTGGTAAATTTTTTTAATGAGTATTAGTTTACTGCGTGTGATTTTCTAATGGCTTCTGAATGTGTTCCATAAAAAGGTGTTGGCCTCTTTTCGCTGTCACCTGCGAAGAGCGGCACACTGCGGACTGACAGGACTGAACTTTTGGAGCCGAGTTTCTGTCAGAGCTGTCAGCCCAGTCTGACGGAACATCAGGACCAGAGAGGGAGAGAGACAGGGTGGAGAGAGAGAGGAGAGAGAGAGGGGAGAGAGGAGGCAGTAGAGAGAGATGAGAGACAGAGAGGAGAGAGAGGGGGAGAGAGGTAGTGGAGAGAGAGGAGGTAGTGGAGAGAGTGGAGAGAGGAAAGAGAGCGAGATTAGAGAGAAGAGAGAGAGGGAGGAGAAAGAGGAAAGATAGGAGAGAAACAGTGGAGAGAGAGAAGAGAGGAGGGAGAAAGGAGAGAAGGGGGAGATAGGCGAGATAGGAGAGAGAGAGGAAAAAGAGGAGATAGTGGTGAGAGACAGAGGAGAGAAGAGAAAGGAGAGAGGAGATAGAGGGGAGAAAGGAGTCAGGACAGAGAGGAGAGAAGAGAGATAGGAGAGAGAAGAGATGTAGGAGAGAGGAAAGAAGAGAGAGGAGAGAAAAGATAGAGAAGGGAGTGAGGAGGCAGTGGGGAGAGAAGAGAGCGGATTAACCCAATGTGAGGTTTGAAGTGTGAAATGATGTCCTCTGAGGGGCGGAGTCGGCATACATACATTTAAAAAATCATCCATCCATCCATTTTCTACCCTTTAATCCATGGGTCAGGGGGGTGGCAATCAGAGATGCCACCCAAGTCTCATAGCACCAGCCCCTCACTGACCCTCTGCAGGTGGTGAGTCCACAGGAGGACGGCTGCTCTCTGAGTGTGAGCATAGCCTTGATCTTTCAGTGGGGGCTTTGGGCAAAGTGGGGTTAAGTGTCTTGCCCAAGGACACAACGACAGCAGTCATCAGTGGGAGTCGGTTGAGAAGGTGTAGAGGTGGGAATTGAACCCACAACCTTCTGGCCTGAAGGCCAATGCTCTACCAACTGAGCTACTGTCGCCATAATACGCAAAAAAAACACAAAATACGCAAAATAGGCAAAATTTCTTTCTTTTGTTTTAGCTTTTAGCAATGATACACAATTTTGTTCCTCATCAAAATCTTTATAGATCACCCCATCCATCCATCTGAATTTCAGGATCCCTCTGCCTCAAACATGTAACTCTGCCCCTTCTGTCTAAAAGCTGTAATATTATGATTTTGTACAACTATGACATCACACTCTGTCATTTCATGTTTTTTTTAATAGCTAAAGATAATGCATGATATTTATCCTTGACTTCTGGCTTCTCGTTCTGAGCGCCCCATTTGTTTTTACTGTTATAAGCTTTGTTTTATGCTGCTCAATCAATTCAAGAATTATAAAACAAGAGGGACTATGGACAGCGATGATACGAAGCTTTATAAACATTTATGGACATTGGTCATCCCGCTTCCTGTTGACCAATGTCTCCCATGTTTGTTATGATTTTATTCCCTGTGTTTCGAACCGTTTAATTTTCTGATCATGTAAAGTCCTTCTGAGACGACTTCTGTTGTGATTTAGGGCTATACACAAATACATTGAATTGAAAGAAAACCCAGCGACACCAAATTCTGTCAAGATTATATAGTATGTGGTGTGCACCCACGAAACATTCATCCATTATATATTATTCATATGTGATGGTGTATATACATGTATGAAATCTGAAAGCAAATGACCCACATAACCAGTCTTGCATTTGAAACTCACAATCAAAAGTAAAGCATCTGAAATTCATGCCATTTGAAGTTGTTTTTGCTCCGTGTGGAAAGATAATGGGTGCGGCGTGTACTTAGCCTTGAGCTCTCTACAGGAGGCATGTTCTTATCACAGCAGGACAAGCAGAAGATTAAAAAAAATGACTTTACGGATGTCGTCCTTTGCTTTGTGAGTCCTTGAAGGCGGCGTATAGATATATATACGAGTCGGAGCGTACAGCTGTGGTCACGCTGGGCTCCGTATGGGGCTCTCTGCCGCGACTTTCCGGGCTCCAACTCCATCTCCAGTGAGCCGTGCAGACTATGGTTCTTTTTTAATGATTTTCCTCACAGTTTTACAGCCTGTGATGTGCAATGTAGTGAGACAATGACCACTGCTTTATATTCAGCCATCCGAGTGGCTTTATGTGCCTGTCCGGGTGATTTAAAGCAGCCATTATCCAGCAGTAATTCATATGTGCCGGAATTCAATTTGAGAAGATGAAAAATTACACTTGTGTTTCTCACGTTTGCCTTTGCTCACGCTCTTTGGTTCAAGGTGCAAAAGTTTACAAACCGTGCTGGATATTTTCCATGCTGATGTACTTAGCTAGACGGTATGGTTCGTGTAAGAAGTTAGCATTGTTAGCACTGATCATGCACAATAGGTATGAATGTAAGTGAGAGAGTGAATGGATGGTGTTGATTGGGGCTGATGGTCCAGTGTGATCGGCGACTCGCTTCCGTCATCACCGTGTGTGGAATGATTGGAACAATATCTGAACTCTGAACATTGTAAAGCGCTTTGGGTGACCTTGGTCTGTAAAATACGCTATATAAATAAACATTACTTACTTATTTACTACTGATCACCTGTTCATTTTAGAACCAATTTTCAGATTTTAGTGTTTGCTTTGAATGGACTGGCCCCACAGAACATCTCAGACCTCATTCAGCTTTACCACCCGGGGGACAGGGCCTTCTCTGTGGCTGGACACAAAATTATGGAACGCTCTCCGCTCCCATACTCAAACTGCTCCTTCTGTGGGGTGTTTTAAGACCCGTTTTTATGCTTTGGCTTTGAACACTGTGTGAGTTTTATGATCATTTTATTTTTAATCTATTTAATTTGTTTTACTGTTCTTTTTAAATATATGTACAGATATAAATATATGGTAAAAAAAAAAAAAAAAACATGTACAGTATATGCACGTACGTTGATTTGTTTTAATTTGTCTTTTATTGTGCTGCACTGGAAACTGTGTTTATGAACTGTGCTATGTAGATAAACTGGATTGGATCGGATTGAAGAACGTAAGTAACTAAGAAAGACGTTTCATGATACCAAAAGTACTTCACAATTCATTATTCATTTACTCCACACACACATTGGTGGTAAGCTTGTAGCCACAGCTGCCCTGGAGTAGATGGAAGGCAGGCTGTCAATCTGTGCCATTGCCCCATCCAAACACCACCAATGACTCACTTGCATGTATTTTCCTGTTTTATTTATATAATTGTTTTTCATTTCACTTTTATTTTTAAATTGGATAACTGGTATATTATTGTTTTTATAAAAAATGTATTGTTTACTGGAATTGTATTGTTTTGTTGTGTTTTTTATTTGTTTTACTTTGTTTTGTTTAACATATAAAGCTGGCAAACCTGTATATTTAAATGTTTTACTTTTATTTCTGTGCAGCACTTTGGAAACTTCTTTGATAAAAATATATAAATATAATGGATTGGATGAGACTATTTATTCCAGTGTGTAATTTCCCAAAAATACATATTGTGCCAGAGCTCAGCTTTGACCTACTTCCAGATGGTCTAGGGGTCACTTGGTTCTGGGAGGTGGTGGACCAACCCCCGGCGATCCAAGATGGCGCCGTATTCAAATGAATGGTTTGTGCTCAGTGGTGCTTTGTGCCGGTGTTCTGTCGAGTTGGTCTGCCCGTCGAGATGAGCTCCCTCAGCTGTTTATGATGTAATGCAAACCTGCGCATGCGCTTCTCACGCATATATATACAGACTATATACATATTAGGTGGAAATAATGCATATTTAATAAGGCTGTCAAACAATATTAATATTAAACGCAAATAAGCGCATTAATATCATCAGGGGGTGTAAACAGCCTTCAGACACTCATCTTGTATTTTTGTTTGAAATCTGAAAATCTGCTGAAATCCAACATAATGGCCCTTTAAATCAAAGATTGTCTTTATTATGCAATTATTATTTAGGGAAAAAAACATGAAGCTATTCATGAAAATATAATCGCAAACAAAATATTCCACACATTTGCTGCATGCCAAATGCTGCAGTTTGTAATGGTTGACGATAATTTAAAGAAGTAAGCGATGTTAGCTTAGGCGTAGCACCAACTCAAAACCACTCCCCCTCCCCTCGCCTCTCCACCAAACTAAATATCCAGCATTTTCTTTTCTTTGTCACAACAGGGAGAGTGGGTGGAAAACGTGAAATTTGCATTTTCTGTTCAGCCCTTTTAGGTTTTAGTAAAATCTGATAACTCCGGCGCACTCGTGAGAAACAGGAAGAGGGTGAAGGGGGTAAACGCATCCCATTGGTTCATTGGAGATGAACAAATCGCATTGGTTTATTTTTATAGATCCGTTCCAAAATATCATTTATTAATTTTTGTAGACTATAGGCATCTGGTCAATTCCATTACTATTTGAAAACACATGATAACTTGACTTAACTTTTAGGGTTTAGGGACGTTTTCCCACAATATTTAAAAACATGCGTCTGGAAAAAATCACTGACTGCATCTTTAATCTACCAATTGACTAAAGATTGTCAAGTCCTTTACTTGTTTTGTATCTCTTCCAATACATTTAAAAAACAACAAGTTGGTTTTTAAACCATGATGTTGCAAGTTGGCCCTGGCAACAGTCCTTGACAACAGCAGAATCTTAGAATGTAACATCCGGATTGTAATTACATCACTTTGACTACCACTGACTCACTGGGTCAGTTAGCCGTGACATTCACTTGCAGAGAGCACTGTTGGATTTATTGCATCTTGAACTCAAAATTTACATTTGGATAACGCCATGCAGTCCACTGCTTACAAGAACGACCTGACTCAGGTCAACGATCTGGTGACAAAGTTACAGTTGCCAATTCACTTCTTCGACTCCCAGGAGCCAGGATTTGCCGGGCAGAGGATTTTTGTTGTCACCCTCAAAGTGGGAACTCTCTGCTCTGTGGGGAAAGGCCACACCAAGAAAGAGGCCAAAGCCAGAGCAGCGTCCACCCTCCTGGGGCCTTTAAAACAAATGTACCTGCCGCCTCTGCAGAGCGACCACCAGGCTAAGGCAAAGAAGAGAAACACTCAGCAGCAAGTGAAGGACGTCAAAGAGGACATAAAAACCCTGTGGCTACCTGTCTGAGGTGGTGCAGGCCCATGGGATGAAGTACCCAGAGTACACCCTGCTGGAGGCCACTCGCGTCCCCTGGGGTTGGCTCTTCACTATGAGAGTCTCAGTCCAGGAGATGTCTGCTGTAGCCACGGGGCCAACAAAGAAAGCTGCTAAAAACAACGCGGCCGCAACGATGTTGGAGCTGTTGGGGTTTGATTGCCCAGAGTACCACCCTTTGATTGGTCAAAAGCATGTAACCTCAACAAAGCCTCAGGTATAGTTTTTTTTTTTTTCACAATTTATACAATATAAAAAAATAATTTAATTGAATTGTACATCAGGTGGACAAAGAAGAGGAAGAGAGGTCCCAGATAGATTTCATTATCGAGGCCTCTCCTGAACCTCAAAGCCCCCAGCACCACCCTTGGCTGGACATGGCCCCAACAAAGCCTGAGGTAATGGTTATTAACATTTATGCAACTTTAAAAATGACTTGAATTGAACTAAACTGGATTGTACACCAGGTGGACAAAGATGATACACTGGTATCATCTCCTGTTGAGGATAGTCAGGACATCTGCACATCTCCTGATGTAATTATTGAAGAAGAGTGGGAGGATTATCTCGACTCAGACACGGACAGTGTACTCGAGGACATAAACAATGAGACTGGATCAGATTTATGTGAGAACCCAGAGACCAGACCAGAGGCAGAAATCTGCGAAGATACTGTTGTCTCAGAGATTTCCAGTCAGCCAGAAGAGCTTCAAGAAGAACACGTTATTGAGGCCGATCTGGAACCTGAGAGCCCCCAGTACCACTCTTTGGTGGACACTACCTCAACAAAGCCTGAGGTAAAGGTTATTAACATTTAAGTAATTAAAAAAATATTGAATTGAAGTGAATTGAATTGAACTGAATTGTACACCAGTTGGACAAAGACGAGGGCGAGACTGGAGCAGAAGTTGCATCTGCGAGTCCAGAAACCAGCCTCATGGAGTCAAGGGAGACAGATGAGACGAAGCCTGAGGTAAAGGTTATTAACATTCATGCAAATAAAAAGTACATCTAATCTAATTTAATTTAATTGTACACCAGGTGGACAAAGAGGAGAAAGCATTGTCCCATCTGACATCAGAGATGAATACTCATGAAACAGAGAGTGTTCAAAAAGAACGCAATGAGATTCAGGAAGAACTCATTATTGAGGCCTCTCCTGAACCTGCGTGTCCACAGAAGCACCATTGGCGGGACATTTCCTCACCAAAGCCTGAGGTAAAAGTTGATTACATTTTTGCAACTTTAAAAATGAATTGAATTGAACTCAACTGAATGGAATTGTACACCAGGAGGACAAAGAGGAGGAAGAGGTTCCACATCTGAACCTAGAAATCAGCTCAGACATGAACATTCATGAAACAGAGAGTGTTCAAACAAAGGTAGATGAGACTCAGGAAGAACTCATTATTGAGGTTTCCCCTGAACCCGAGTTCCCGCAGGACCAATCTTTGCTGGACATTTCTTCACTAAAGCCTGAGGTAAAGATTATCAATGTAATTAAAAAATGAACTGAATTGAACTGAATTGTACACCAGGTGGACAAAGACAAGAGAGAGACTGGAGCAGAAGTTGCATCTGCGAGCCCAGAAACCAGCCTCATGGAGTCCAGGGAGACAGATGAGACGAAGCTTGAGGTAAAGGTTATTAACATCCATGTAAATAAAAAAAATTACATTGAATTGAACTAAACTCAATTGTACATCAGGTGGACAGAGAAGAGGAAGAGAGGTCCCAGATAGATTTCATTATCGAGGCCTCTCCTGAACCTCAGAGCCCCCAGCACCACCCTTGGCTGGACATGGCCCCAACAAAGCCTGAGGTAACGGTTATTAACATTTATGCAACTTTAAAAATGACTTGAATTGAACTAAACTGGATTGTACACCAGGTGGACAAAGACGAGAGAGAGACCAGAGCAGAAGTTGTATCTGTGAGCCCAGAAACCAGCCTCATGGAGTCCAGGGAGACAGATGAGATGAAGCCTGAGGTAAAGGTTGTTTACATTTATGCAATACAATAAAATAATTGATTCATAATTGACTTGATTTATACTCCAGGTGGACAAAGAGGAGGTCTGTCCTCTGAGTGAAGATGTGACTGCACCAGCATCTGTAGACATCACAGAGGCTGGAGATGTCCTTACAGATCAGAGAAGGTCCTTAGAGATGATTGAAGCTGATGTGGTCAGTGAAGAGGATTTCCCCTGTCCTCCTCCAATACTGGAGGGTCCATCTGTGGCCAGCGTCCTTGTGCGAGCTCTGGTTCAAAAGCTGGTTCAAAAGTCCTATTTTAAACCTGAAGACCAGGGAGAGAATATCTGCCTGCTGCTGGAGAAGACTGAGGAGCACATTCACCACCAGGATGTTCCAATCTCTCTTAAAAATATGAGAGCTGTTGGAAAAGCTGCAGCCAAAGACCTGCTGAGGGAGTGCAGGCTCCAGGGGGCGCCACTGAGAGCTGAGGATGAGGCCTTCCAGAAGGCAACGGTGAAACACCTAAACCACCGTCTGAAAAAGTTCTTGTTTGGACCACAGAGGACGGGACTCTCTCGACTCTTCGCCGCTGTGGGCCGGTTCTTCCGTGGCTCATAAACATAAGCCTGCATGGCTTCATGTGCATCTAAAATAAAGCATTACACAAACATTTGGTACTGACTCAATTACATGATGCTAAAATATCTGTCAATCGTTCCTTCCATACACATACTGTAAAACGATGACATTTTTTAATCGTATTTCAAACTATTGGCAAAATTATGCCATATTTTTCTGTAAATGGTTGTTTGAATGGAATAAAAACATAGTGTACATATGTACTGTATTTGTTTATTAAAACAACAATAAATCCACATAAAATGGCATTAACATTATGTCTTTCTGTTGTAGACAGTATTATTTCCTCTAAAAAAAGCAAACAAAGGGCCTCATGTTCAGTAACAGAAAACTGTCTCCAGTCCATTGAAACTCACTCGGCAAGTAACTCTTTATTTTTTAACGAGTTCATAAAAATGCGTATTACTACATACAAGTTGTATTAGAACCTGTAAATGAATTGAAAAATGTAGCTTTTGATTCAGCTTGTGTATGAATTCAGGCCATAAAAAGTGCTGAGCATAAACTTTGCGTGACGCTGGTTCTCCCCCAACGAGGGTCAGCGCTGTCACGAACAGGCTGCGTCCTCTAGCGTCTGCAGGGGATGTAAACAGAACAGCATGGCAGGAGAAGGTGGCCATACTTCCTCTGTAACTGCAGACACAGCAAAACACCCCAAACGACGCAACAGTGAGGAAGAGAAGAGGGAACTAAAGCAAAAAAATGATCAAAAAAGAATTCAAGCCCGCCTTACATCGTATCCTCTGGAGAGACCTGCGGGAGCCGAACCGCCTCGGACTACATTTGGACACGAAACTAGCGGAAATCTTTCGGTTATATATTTTGTTAGCAGTGCGTTGCTTTTGTATGATTTCATCAGTGATTGTTGTACAGCTTACAAGAAGTTGTGTTGTTGCTAATTAACACCTATCAGATTGCTACTAAAACTACATGGCTCGTGGGAGGAGAGCGTAGGGGAGAGTAGGAGGGTTGTCACAACAGGGAGAGTGGGTGGAAAACGTGAAATTGCCATTTTCTGTTCAGCCCTTTTAGGTTTTAGTAAAATCTGATAACTCCGGCGCACTCGCGAGAAACAGGAAGAGGGTGAAGGGGGTAAACGCATCCCATTGGTTCATTGGAGATGAACAAATCGCATTGGTTTATTTTTATAGATCCGTTCCAAAATATCATTTATTAATTTTTGTAGACTATAGGCATCTGGTCAATTCCATTACTATTTGAAAACACATGATAACTTGACTTAACTTTTAGGGTTTAGGGACGTTTTCCCACAATATTTAAAAACATGCGTCTGGAAAAAATCACTGACTGCATCTTTAATCTACCAATTGACTAAAGATTGTCAAGTCCTTTACTTGTTTTGTATCTCTTCCAATACATTTAAAAAACAACAAGTTGGTTTTTAAACCATGATGTTGCAAGTTGGCCCTGGCAACAGTCCTTGACAACAGCAGAATCTTAGAATGTGACATCCGGATTGTAATTACATCACTTTGACTACCACTGACTCACTGGGTCAGTTAGCCGTGACATTCACTTGCAGAGAGCACTGTTGGATTTATTGCATCTTGAACTCAAAATTTACATTTGGATAACGCCATGCAGTCCACTGCTTACAAGAACGACCTGACTCAGGTCAACGATCTGGTGACAAAGTTACAGTTGCCAATTCACTTCTTCGACTCCCAGGAGCCAGGATTTGCCGGGCAGAGGATTTTTGTTGTCACCCTCAAAGTGGGAACTCTCTGCTCTGTGGGGAAAGGCCACACCAAGAAAGAGGCCAAAGCCAGAGCAGCGTCCACCCTCCTGGGGCCTTTAAAACAAATGTACCTGCCGCCTCTGCAGAGCGACCACCAGGCTAAGGCAAAGAAGAGAAACACTCAGCAGCAAGTGAAGGACGTCAAAGAGGACATAAAACCCTGTGGCTACCTGTCTGAGGTGGTGCAGGCCCATGGGATGAAGTACCCAGAGTACACCCTGCTGGAGGCCACTCGCGTCCCCTGGGGTTGGCTCTTCACTATGAGAGTCTCAGTCCAGGAGATGTCTGCTGTAGCCACGGGGCCAACAAAGAAAGCTGCTAAAAACAACGCGGCCGCAACGATGTTGGAGCTGTTGGGGTTTGATTGCCCAGAGTACCACCCTTTGATTGGTCAAAAGCATGTAACCTCAACAAAGCCTCAGGTATAGTTTTTTTTTTTTTCACAATTTATACAATATAAAAAAATAATTAATTGAATTGTACATCAGGTGGACAAAGAAGAGGAAGAGAGGTCCCAGATAGATTTCATTATCGAGGCCTCTCCTGAACCTCAAAGCCCCCAGCACCACCCTTGGCTGGACATGGCCCCAACAAAGCCTGAGGTAATGGTTATTAACATTTATGCAACTTTAAAAATGACTTGAATTGAACTAAACTGGATTGTACACCAGGTGGACAAAGATGATACACTGGTATCATCTCCTGTTGAGGATAGTCAGGACATCTGCACATCTCCTGATGGAATTATTGAAGAAGAGTGGGAGGATTATCTCGACTCAGACACGGACAGTGTACTCGAGGACATAAACAATGAGACTGGATCAGATTTATGTGAGAACCCAGAGACCAGACCAGAGGCAGAAATCTGCGAAGATACTGTTGTCTCAGAGATTTCCAGTCAGCCAGAAGAGCTTCAAGAAGAACACGTTATTGAGGCCGATCTGGAACCTGAGAGCCCCCAGTACCACTCTTTGGTGGACACTACCTCAACAAAGCCTGAGGTAAAGGTTATTAACATTTAAGTAATTAAAAAAATATTGAATTGAAGTGAATTGAATTGAACTGAATTGTACACCAGGTGGACAAAGACGAGGGCGAGACTGGAGCAGAAGTTGCATCTGCGAGTCCAGAAACCAGCCTCATGGAGTCAAGGGAGACAGATGAGACGAAGCCTGAGGTAAAGGTTATTAACATTCATGCAAATAAAAAGTAAATCTAATCTAATTTAATTTAATTGTACACCAGGTGGACAAAGAGGAGAAAGCGTTGTCCCATCTGACATCAGAGATGAATTCTCATGAAACAGAGAGTGTTCAAAAAGAACGCAATGAGATTCAGGAAGAACTCATTATTGAGGCCTCTCCTGAACCTGCGTGTCCACAGAAGCACCATTGGCGGGACATTTCCTCACCAAAGCCTGAGGTAACAGTTGATTACATTTTTGCAACTTTAAAAATGAATTGAATTGAACTGAACTGAATGGAATTGTACACCAGGAGGACAAAGAGGAGGAAGAGGTTCCACATCTGAACCTAGAAATCAGCTCAGACATGAACATTCATGAAACAGAGAGTGTTCAAACAAAGGTAGATGAGACTCAGGAAGAACTCATTATTGAGGTTTCCCCTGAACCCGAGTTCCCGCAGGACCAATCTTTGCTGGACATTTCTTCACTAAAGCCTGAGGTAAAGATTATCAATGTAATTAAAAAATGAACTGAATTGAACTGAATTGTACACCAGGTGGACAAAGACAAGAGAGAGACTGGAGCAGAAGTTGCATCTGCGAGCCCAGAAACCAGCCTCATGGAGTCCAGGGAGACAGATGAGACGAAGCTTGAGGTAAAGGTTATTAACATCCATGTAAATAAAAATTACATTGAATTGAACTAAACTCAATTGTACATCAGGTGGACAGAGAAGAGGAAGAGAGGTCCCAGATAGATTTCATTATCGAGGCCTCTCCTGAACCTCAGAGCCCCCAGCACCACCCTTGGCTGGACATGGCCCCAACAAAGCCTGAGGTAACGGTTATTAACATTTATGCAACTTTAAAAATGACTTGAATTGAACTAAACTGGATTGTACACCAGGTGGACAAAGACGAGAGAGAGACCAGAGCAGAAGTTGTATCTGTGAGCCCAGAAACCAGCCTCATGGAGTCCAGGGAGACAGATGAGATGAAGCCTGAGGTAAAGGTTGTTTACATTTATGCAATACAATAAAATAATTGATTCATAATTGACTTGATTTATACTCCAGGTGGACAAAGAGGAGGTCTGTCCTCTGAGTGAAGATGTGACTGATATTTCTGCACCAGCATCTGTAGACATCACAGAGGCTGGAGATGTCCTTACAGATCAGAGAAGGTCCTTAGAGATGATTGAAGCTGATGTGGTCAGTGAAGAGGATTTCCCCTGTCCTCCTCCAATACTGGAGGGTCCATCTGTGGCCAGCGTCCTTGTGCGAGCTCTGGTATTTCCTGGCTTGATCCCATCCTCCCATTACCTGTTCCATAAAGAATTTGGAATCTCATCTACATATGAAGTACACTTTTATTGTGAACGCTGTTTGAAATACCTTGGCATTCGAGCTGACTGTCCCCGTGAATGTGATTCTTGTAACACACCATTTGATGCAGACGAACACCTGAAAAAAGGGGTCTATATTCTCGTGTTACCCCTGCGAGCGCAGATCAAACAACTCCTGGAAGAGCACAGTGTGACGCTTACTCAACATGATAAAAAGTTAGGGATTCTCTCTGATATACAATCTGGCAAGGAGTACCAAAAGTTATGCGATAGTGGAGTTCTAGAGAAAGATGATTTAACTTTAATTTGGAATTGTGACGGAGCACCAGTCTTCAAAAGTTCTAAATGCAGCATTTGGCCAATTCAGTGTCAGGTCATTGAATTAGCCCCGGATGAGAGAAGAAAGCACATTTTGTTGTCTGCGTTATGGTTTGGGCCTAGCAAGCCATCAATGTTTACATTACTAGCCCCATTTGTAAAAGACGCCTCTTTGTTGGAGACCGAAGGTGTAGATTGGAAAGATGAACAGGGAAACCCTCATGTGTCTAAAGTGTTTGTGCTCCTTTGTACTTCTGATTCAGTGGCGCGGCCTTTGCTTCGTAACACAAAGCAGTTTAATGGTTTTTATGGATGTGATTTTTGTTATCACAAAGGCGGCAAAGCTTATCCATACACCAGACCGGAACCCCTCCTGCGTAATGAGAAGGATCATTTTAGTCATGCAATGTCAGCAACAGTGGATGCACCTGTATTTGGAGTTAAAGGCCCATCTCCTTTGATGAGGCTGAGTCACTTTCAGATGATAAATGGCTTCATTCCAGAATATCAACACAATGTGTGCCTTGGCGTCACCCGACAGCTGGCTACTCTATGGTTTGATTCTACGAACAGTGATGCTTCTTGGTACATTGGTAAACAGATGGAAGAAGTTGATTTGCGACTTGAAAAGATAAAGCCTCCTGTTGAGATAACAAGAACTCCAAGATCTTTCAAGGACAGGAAATTTTGGAAGGCTTCGGAGTGGCGAGCCTTCCTACTCTTTTATGCCTTGCCAACGTTAAAAGGAATTCTTCCTGCTAGATTTTGGAATAATCTGTTCCTTTTGGTATTTGGCATATACACATTACTGCAGGACGAGATCCAGAAACGAGCAATCATGATGGCAGAACTGGCACTCAAAACATTTGTTATTGACTTTCAGAGACTGTATGGAAATGACCGCATGACTTTCAATATCCATTTGCTTTCCCATGTCGCACAAAGTGTTAAACAATGGGACCTTTATGGGCTACTTCTACTTTTCCATTCGAGTCCAATATGGGCACTCTCCTTAAATATTTTCATGGGACACAATCTGTCCCGTTGCAAATGGTCAGAACATTTCTGTTGTGGAGAGAATTACCGGAAAAAGCCAAACATACCATAACATCTGGAAATCCAAAGGTAGAGTCATTTGTTGAAAAACAGTATTCCTATGACCGAAGAACAGAAAAATGTGTCATACTTAATGGAAGTGTCAAGGGTTTTGGTCATCCTCCTTGGCAGGAAAACATCCCAGCTTCACATGGGCTTGCCATTGGAAAACTGTGTGAAAATCTAAGTAACTGCTTCTGGTATTACAGGCGTTTTTTGGTTAAAGGCATTTTGTTTCACAGTCAGACTTATGAACGGCTGAAGAAAAGATTCAACAGTGCTGTATCTTTGAATGATGGTAAATTATGTTTAATTAATGACTTGGTTGTCTTTAAAGAAAAGTGTGCACATGAAAACCCGGGATACTGTGCATGTATCAAACATTCTTGTGTGTTGGTAGAGGAGCTGAGTAAATCTAACAGGCCATTGTGTAACGATTCAAAGATTAATGTAGAGAGTACTTTCATTCACGAAGTTAAGAAGACTGGAAACGTGTATGCAATTTGGCCTGAGACGATATTAAAGAAATGTGTCGTCGTTGAGACAGATAAACTGTATTTTGTACCTCTGCCAAATCCATATGAACGGGACTGAAAGAGCTCATTGTCTTTAATGTTCCCATTTTATGAGCATCAATAAACTACCTGAAAAGTTGTTGTTCTCCTTTTTTCCATCGTTAGAAAGTAGGTGGTTTTGTGTACTATTTAAGGGCCGGACGATGTTTGAAATAAAAGGGTTATAATGACACTATGTAGACTAGGAGTTTACTTAGGCTATAGTCTTAAGCCACATACATGCTGACCTTTTGGCAAAAAAAAGAACTGACAAAGATCAGATCAGATTTTAACCATCTTGCAGTATAAAACAATCCAGCAAATGTGAAAATATATCAAAAGGGATACAATCAAAAAGATGCATGCAAATAGTTTAATATTTAAACTTTTAATAAGATAACCTCAAGTGCAAGTATTATCTAAATGTAAACTTTAGTCTAAGTGTATATGTTGGTATAATACTATAGCCTAATTTTTAATGTACTTAGACTTTACTTGGCAAAGTATACTTCTGGTAAGTACAGTCAAGTACAAGTATAGTCTAAATGTAAGTAAACTTTTGAATAAGTACACATACAAGTACAATATTGAAATAATTATTAGTATACTTTAAGTAAATTTTAAGTATACTAAGTGCAAGTATAGTCTAAATGTAAGTAAACTTTGATATAAGTATATATATAAGTATACTTATTAGTATACTTAAAAATTTACTAGGTGAAGTATACTTCTGATAAGTACAGTGAAAGTAAACTTGAAGTATACTATATTCTTTTTAAGTATACTACCAAGTATACTTGAATGTACTTCTTTTTGGTAAGGGGCAGAAGGCAGGTTTTGTAGTTAGTTGTGGGTGACGTCAAGAGTTTGCGTCGAACAGGCAGGTTGTAGTTTAGTAATGGCAAAAAATGCGATAGAACCAGACCGGATTATTTTACTATCAAGAAATTGAAGCCGGAGCAAGGGTAATGTTTAGCATATGTAATCGCTGGAAAGTTTTTTGGTGCTTCTCCCCACGGGCTCTGTTAGCGGCAAAGGAGATGGCTAGGCTAAATGCTAAATGCTAACAACAGACTCGGGCGCACTACATACGTCACAGTAAACTCAGATCCAATCGTTTTAATCTGCAAAAGGAGTTAACCCCTCCCACCTGTAAACTGAGCTCAATGGACCACCTCCAGACTTTAGTACAAAATGTCATTTGTACTATGGTGTGGTACGACCAGGCTAGGAGATTAGCAGAACTCGCCTATATTTGGATCGTCTGGTCCTCCAGGTTCTGCGCAGTGGACGAGCTCACATGATGCGTTGCGCCAAATACGCGTTGCGCCAAATACGCGTGGGTGGCTTTCATGCACGAGCACAGAGGGGCTCGGCCACACTCTGACCAATCAGAGCTGCTGATCAGAGCAGCAGCAGAGCGGAGTCAGAGCGGGAAGGAAAGGAGCAGAGTTTGTGGCAGTAAAGTGTGGATTTAACGAAAACCGAAGGATTTAAGAAGAAAAAAAGTTCAGGATGACAAGGGACACTAAAATCCCCTAAAAATCAGATATTTCTGAAAGCTGTAGGTTCTCTCCCAGCTGAGGTCGAGCTGTTTTAATTTACATTGAGTTCTATGGGTCTATTTTCTGGGTACCCCACCCCAGCCCCAGCCCACTTGAATTTAGTCTGCAGTACCACAGGAGCCCCCTGTGCCCATGGGTGGGACAGCTGTAAGCTAGTAATACCCTATCCAGTAATTATTATAGAGCCATGGTGTATGAGTGTGATAGGGTATGGAACTGTATATTACGGTATAAACTGCACAGTATCAAATATGTATTGATTTGGTATGTTGATTAATTGCATTGTATTCTGCGTATCATTGTGTTGAAATGTGAGAGGGGGTTGGGAACAAATAAGCATCTACTTTATCCAACCCCTTTTCAAACCTGTATTAGTGTAAACATATGTGAAAATGTGTTCTGCAGGTTTGAAATAAATCCAACTAACTAACTAATGTGTTGGTCACTGATGTGATTTAGATTCAATTCAAACATACAATAATATCAACAGTGTATGTATGTTCCAAACTATATACTGTATTAGCATTAGTCTTTCTGAATCATGATGGTTTTTTGTTAGTTTTGTTAGTTCAAATTTAGCATCACATTCTTCAGACATTGCCCACCCCTACTTCCTTCGTACTGGATTGTGTCCTGGTGCAGTGGCGTGTTTACCTCATGGATGAAGTCTCCGATGTCTCCGGGGTGAGGGGCGGCTGAGCGCATGGGGTACTGGTGGTCGTGGTGCAGGGGCCTCTCGTCCATCCGCCTGATGCCCACTTTCACACAGTCCGGCTCCAGAGCGTCTGGCTGCTGCAGCTGGCTCAGGTCATAGTCCTGACAAACAAGCGCATGGAGAGCAGTGTTTTATTGCAGTTTGTCTTTTGCTCTGAACAAGTGTTTCACTTTGGTTTGGTTTTGTTTGTCTCTAGCGATCATAGAAGTACAGCATGTGTGTGATTTCTCCAATAATTTGTAATAATTTTCTTGGGATGGCTAGCAGCTTCTAGGCAACTAAGTTTTATAGCCAATAGTGAGGGGCAGACCTTCCCACTTACACTGCTGAGCAACCTACATACCTATTATTTTGACATTTATTATTACTTATTTAGAAAAAGTCACCACTTATTCTCTATACAAATGTTCTTCTCGAGTTCACGGTAATTGGCAGCATTGTGTTTTTGTTCGTTTTGTGAATGAGCAGCGAGAGAACTAAGGTTTGTTATTGTCAAGTTCTTGTTCTCTGTGCCTATTCTTAGTCAAAGAAAAATAACTCTCGAGAAACAATAAAGACTAATCCAATTTTATCTAACATTCTTTAAGTCATGTTTTTAATCGACTTGACCTCGCACAAAATGTCTTATCCAGAATAAATACTTTTTGGTAAGGGGTGTGTATTCAAGATTCAAGATTGATGTTATTACCATTTTCAGTAAAACCACATTGGAAAAACTATGCAAGACAACCCCAGTGTGCACCAGTCTGTATGTACTTATGACGTCAACTGTACCCATGTGGTGATGACAAAGTTTGAAGTAAAATAGCCAGTGTGGATACTTTAGGAGCGAGAAAGAACAACAACCTAAAGTCTAAAGCTGTGTTCCCACCGCCAATGAATGTTCACTAAATATCAGCTGCATGAGTTTAGTCAATCTGTCGTACTGCCCTGCGTTGGGGAAAAAACGCAGAGCAAAAGTGGTGGGCGGGCTTTGATGCTAACAAGTTACTTCTGTATCAGCGAACACGTTAGTAGCACTTGTTTACAGTCACAATAGAATGTCAACTCAAGGTGAAGACATATTTTCACAAGCCTTTGTCTCCCATTGTCAGCCCTGGTTTAATCCTGGCTCTGCTCAGGTTCTGATTGTCTTCGAGTGTTTACATCTTACTGTTTGGACCGGCATATGTCCCCGAAACCAGAGAATCTCCATCTCCTGCTTTCGCTGCATGTATCTAGCCGCCGTACCCACCGCCTCTTTCGCGCCACCACAAGACGTGTGCTGCGCCGGACAATAGTGCATGCCGTGACGCACAAGCAATTCCTCGCATGAGCCGACGTCACCATTGACTTTGCATTGAAACTCGCTGCAACGCAACACAACTTAAGAAAGATGAGTGCTTCAGTGGATCAATTTTTGGTCAGGTGCCATTCACCGTCAAGAGCCACAAAAATAAAAAAGCCAAAAACTGTACAATGGAAGAGTGACATGCTTTGGCCACGTAAGGCCTTCTCCAGGGCATGACAACCCAAGACTATTTCAACAGATCATGCAAAGAGCCTCATTTAGATTTAGATACAATGTCAAGACGGAAAATGTAAATCTGAAATGTAACCGAGCATTTTATGCAAAGGTTGTCCTTGGGAAACATTTGGTAAAGAAATGACAGAGTAACTTTTCTCATTCTATTTTCAAATTAGTCAAAATACTAAACTCGATAAGACTCAGAATGGGATTAAAATCTGAAATATTTGGCTTGAACTGTTATTCCACTGCCTATGGTTATACTAGGGACCATTTGGCTTCAACAAAAATCAATCACAAATAAATGAGTGTGGTAGATAAGAACAGGGGACATATATTTTAACACATATACTAATTTCTTTGTGTGACCAGATAAAACTAGTGACCAAACCTTCATAAATGTATTGTAGAGGTTTTGTAGGGTTTAGGATATAGATTTAAATATATATGTATAATAATTTCTCAGTTCGAAAATTGGCATCAAATTTTGACGTGGTCCTCCTCACTAAACTCAATAAAACCAGGCATCGTTTCAACAAAAATCAATCACAAATAAAAGGTTAGCTAAGACATATTAAATAATCTCGCTGTAAAAACCGGCGTTAATAGCTGACCTGGTCCTCCTCGCCGCCGCCCTCCTCGTCGTACTTCAGGATGTTATCTCTGACGTCGTCCTCGGGGTCGATCAGCAGCTGCTTGGCCTGTCGCTCTTTGTCGCGCCGCTTCATCCACATGACGAACGCCAGCACCAGCACTGCAGCGTGGGAACACAGATAAGCAAAAGCCCATTTCAAGAGAGGGTGTGCGAAAAGAGGAAGCGCTCCAGGCCGATGCTACGGCGCTAACGCAAAAACGCCACCGCTCTTGCATAGAAAACACTGCAATTTCTCAGGCTGATGTTACAGAGCAATGCCGTACATACGCATACACTGTATACACACACACACATACATGGTGCATTTGCATGAAGTCTAAATTGGGAGGATAGGCTGCAAGATTGTGTTGCTAAACCAGGGGTGAAGGCGAGGACACCACATCAGTCACGTAAGCGGCTTTGAAATGAGAGCAAAGTGTTTAAAAAAAGGCTACGACTGAAAGCACCGGTGAAATAATGATGAATGGAGTGAGATCAAACGCAGATCTTTAAATGAGTCCCTCTTACCTTCATAATACGGCGAGATCGGCAGTGAACAGGTTTTTGTCACATGATTAAAAAAACCTGACGTTAACTTATTCTCTTGGCAAAAAATATTTATTCTGTTAAATGTGGTGAATCTTTAAACATTGCTTCCTTTTTAAATTTCTTCAGAAACATGTTATAAAGTAGAAGAATACCTAATCACTTCTGAGAAAGAAAAGTTTTGATGTCATTTTTTGTGTGTTGTTTATAAAAATAGAATAGAAAAACCTGACGAGGATACAGCCTGGGCCAGGTTTTTGTTTCAGTTGTGTTGTTTTTGTCATAAGTTGTGAACTACAAAATGCCATCTTCCTCTTTATTAAAAATATGTTATCTTTTGAATCACTAGTTGATGCTTTGAGCCGAGAGCTGATTGGCTGCGGGAGGGAGGTCCTCGCTTTGTCCACTTTCCGGTCTGAAAACTAGAGTGTGAGAACTAGGGATAGAACCAAATTGTTTTGAGAGCGAGGAACTAGTTGGCTGGATTTCATTTCCTTGCTTATCTTTGTGTTGAGAAAGTTAGGTGCTCCAGCTTGAACACTAGAACTCTCTGAGCAGTCAAATCGACGGCTTTTAGTTTTGGAAGTGTAATTACTCAGTTTACAGTGGGGCAAAAAAGTATTTAGCCCGGGCGGTGTGTTTGGGATCATTGTCATGCTGGAAGACCCAGCCACGTTTCATCTTCAAAGCTTTCACTGATGGAAGGAGATTTTGGCTCAAAATCTCACGATACATGGCCCCAATCATTCTTTCCTTAACACGGATCAGTCGTCCTGTCCCCTTAGCAGAAAAACAGCCCTAAAGCATGACGTTTCCACCCCCATGCTTCACAGTAGGTATGGTGTTCTTGGGATGCAACTCAGTATTCTTCTTCCTTCAAACACGACGAGTTGAGTTTATACCAAACAGTTCTACTTTGGTTTCATCTGACCACATGACATTCTCCCAATCCTCTGCTGTATCATCCATGTGCTCTCTGGCAAACTTCAGTTCAATTCACCAGTTTTCGCACCCAAAAGTGAGTTTAAAAGTTGGATGGAGACAACTTTTAAACTCACAACAACAGTCTTCGCACTCAAAAGTGAGTTTAAAAGTTGGATGGAGAAATCTTTTTCTTCCAAAACAATGAGAGCTGAGTATATTTCTCACTCCCATTGACCACGTTGTAAAAAGCCAGTCTCAAATGACCAACTGTGTTCACAAACATTTACTGTAATTGATTAAAAGATTACTTTAAACCATGATACTGTGAGGAATACACTGATAGACTGAAACCATGCTTTGTTTTGCTTTTGCTCTGAACACTGGGAAGTCTAAAATCCACACTGAGGAGGCTGCAGAGTTAGCAGAAGTGGGTTGAAAAATGGCTCGTCAGTGCAGTTGCGTGAGCGGAGCGGTGCAGACTGCAGAGAGGCCATTTAGAAAAGTGGGAGCAAAACGGAACAATGTTAAAGGCACATAGACTCCACACATCTTCCTACCAACCTGCTCTCTTTCTGTTGATCAATAAAGAAAGAGCCATTTAGTTTTAAACTATGCATTTTATGTGTTAATTATTTTTGTAAAATTATCTTTGAAATTTATTTATTTTATTTATTAGTACAGCATATAGTATACATTTTAACCAAACGGAATTTTTGGTTGCTTGGTAACCAACATTCTATGGCAGATAAAGCTCCTTTCTCAAAGAGCTGGTTCTGGACGGGTCCCGTTTCTGATCATAGTCGGCTTTGTTCCCCTCCAGAGAAGTGGCCATAGCTACAATAGCACACACATTGTTTACTACAGTTTATCAATCTACAATACAGGCCTTGACTTTAAGCTTTGTCAGCCACTTGCCCTTCGGGCAAGTACCATTTATATTTTACTTGCCCAAAGTCAAAAGTTACTTGTCCAAAAATGTCTCAATACAATGAGTTAACAAGAGTTTGGCAATCAAGTGGCGCTAAATGTACAGTAGTAGTTTATCACCACCGTGTTTGGAGTGAAAGAATAATGACATGTGAAGAGTCTTTGAGTGTCCAAAAAAGCGCTGTATAAAACCGATGCATTATTATAACATGAGCGATGCGCGTCTATGTTTTCTGTCAGCGCGTCTATGGTCCTCCCTCGCGTCAATGGTCCTGTCCGCGGCGTCTATGGTACAAAGCGGCCACAGCTGCTGGGCTCAGAGCAGAGGAAGTGAATGCCGTTCGAGTAATGCAAACAACAGAAAGTGCCCGCAGTCACATATTTAACAGAAATGACGTTTTCAGCGGAAAAAAGTTGTAAATCGCGGATCCGCTGAACATTTTAATTCCTGGTTTATCCAGATGCATTTCATTGATCCAGACAGTTTACTAATGAAGAGAATTATTCAAAAAACGAGAAACAGAGCAGGTCCCGGCTCCAGATGAAGAAATGTATTCCCAGCCTGAATGCGTTAAAGCAACACATCACTTGCCCGATTGGGCAACTTGCTAAAACGGCGCACTTGCCCATCCCAATTCTTTACTTGCCCCGGGCAAGCGGACAACCGTTAATGTCGAGCCCTGCAATATGTTCATTAATTCTCATAATTCAGTTACATTCACCAGTTTTACAGCTTATTAAAAGTGATTAAAGGTAAAAAACCTTTTAAACTACTTAAATTTAATATAACTGCTGGAAAACGTATCCAAGAGCAGAGCGACGCCTCATTGTTCATCCAGAAAAATATAATTGGCAGCCCAAATTCCATCACTATCTGCACTGCCCTCCATTCTACACACATCAAAACATCTCGCTGTTTTTTTCTCTCTCCCCAAAACATCTTGTTGTTTTAACGCTACACTATCTCCTCTCCCGGACCAACACATCTCCCGCTGCTCCGGCTCCTATATGCGCATCAGCCTCAGCCAGATGCCAGGAGACCAGTCCACGCCGCTGCCTCCCATTACTCAAATCAAAGCCCCCCTGGTTCCCCTGAAAGCACCCATCAGGTAGGCCCTGCTGCGCTGTGATCGGCCCGCGATGTTTGGCTGAGGAAACTGTTGCATCACCCCCAGACGCTTCCCTCACTCCTCTTCTTACCACAGCCCTTTGAAAGTCTGTCTTGTTTATGCCGTGTTTGAGTAGAAAAATGATGTGTTGCATAAGTCGGCGGGATAGCGGAAAGCAGGCGAGTTTCGGCGTGGGTTTTTGGATGTTTTAATGATATGTATAAGAGACTGTTCGCTCTGAAAAAAGAAGAGGAGGTGATGTAATATTAACGTTGCACAGCAGTTCAGATTAAGTCAAAAGCACTATATTTAGGATGGATGAAATACCGGTGTTATTAATAGTTTGGAACTCTGGGCTGAGCACTGTGGAATACACCTTCTACTTGGTGTGTTCCAAAGAAAAGGTGATATGTGCTATTGTGTACGTCTATTTTAATTAGGATGATTTTGAATGATTTTTAAGTGCACTTGTAAATAGTGTGTGTTCTGCAGATGTTGTATTTCTTTTAATGCATGCCTTATTTTATGTTTACTTTTATAATAATGCATCGGTTTTATATAGCGCTTTTTTGGACACTCAAAGACTCTTCACATGTCATTAGTCTTTCACTCCAAACACGGTGGTGATAAACTACTACTATAGCCACAGCTGCCCTGGGGCACAATTACAGAAGCGAGGCAACCAGTTCACACACACACACCAGACTCCTTCTAGGCAATGGGGGTGAAGTGACTTGCCTAAGGACACAACGGTAGTTTGGTACTTTACAGCCGCAGCTGCCCCACTGTGGCATCAGGTGTTCCCAGAGGTTAAGTGTCTTGCTAAGGACACAATGACAGCAGATATCAGTGGGAGTCGCTGGAGAAGGTCCAGTGGTGGGCTCGAACCCACGACCTTCAGGCTCAAAGGCCAATGCTCTACCAACTGAGCCACTGTCGCCTCAAACTTTTATAACTTGTTTGCCCCGAGAGCCAAAGCAATTTCCAACTTTGTCACTCTCTGTTGCTACGTAACAAATAATTCTGATTCAGATGCACCTCCACCCTGGGATACATACTGCTGTCTGTATAGTTCACAACTTCATCTCCTCTGCCATAAGAACACTCAATAGAACCGAAGACACGCTGTCAGGGGTCTCCAACCTGTGGCTCGGGTGCTACCAGTAGCTCACCACCCCCTTTCAGTTAGCTCCCCAAAGGATTCAAGAAATTAACACATGAAGGTAGAATGTTATTCAAGTCAAAATGCCAAAACAAAATACCTCTTTTTCTTTCTCTGTGAAAGGTTAACATTTCTTTATTTCTTTCACTACTTTGCATTACAGAGATCCCATGTGGAGAGGGCCACTTGAATCCTGTGAAGAGTGGAAACAGAGACGAAATAAATTGATGTAAAAGCTCCAGCTATTGTTTCCTTGTGTTGAGTGGTGCTGAAGTATTGCGTCTCAGTAGAAAAGGAAACCACTTTATCCTACAGTTGAGAGCTTGTCACGTATCCCCCACGTTAACATCAACATTTTTAGTTAAATGGGAATGTTAATTTTGTCACTTGCATCATTAGAATTGCACCGCGATGAATGTTGTCCCTTAAGAAATTGACTAGAATTGTTCTTATTCCTGTCATGCTCATGGACTCTGTATATATTTTTTGGGGTATTTCAATAGGATTTCCAAACTTCAAACCTTTTTTTGGCCCTTACACTGCAAAAGAACATAACAAATGGGGGCGGCACGGTGGCTGAGTGGACAGAACTCTCAGTTCTCAGCAAGAAGGTCCTGGGTTTGAATCCTGGTCGGAACAGGGCCTTTCTGAGTGGAGTTTGCATGTTCTCCCCGTGTCTGCGTAGGTTTCAGCCGGGTGCTCCTGTTTCCCCAACCTCTAAAAACATGCACAATAGGTCGCCTCCTGTACTGGCGACCTCGCTCCCATCTCTGTATGGAGTGACAGACAAATGTCCACAAATGTAAATCACTCATTACTTCAAATGAGGTAATAATTGCATAAATCAAGTGGTTTTATTCTAATTTGAGTACATTTTGACTGCCTTAAAACAAAATTTGCCAATGGGAAAAAGCCTATTAGTCTTATTTGAAGAACTGTTGCTTTATATAATCTCATTCCATGGAAAACATTTATTGTATCTTTTTAAAACAAGATAATTTTGCTTCTCTCATTAGCAAATCTCGTTTTTAGGCAGTCAAAATGTGCTGAAACGAAGACACATTTAGGTAAATTTGAGTCATTCTTTTCTTTTTGCAGTGTAGAAGTACTCTGAAGGCGGATAGAACATGATAGAAGGTTGAATCTTGTCATTTGAATAAATCCCAGTTAATTAAATGATTTGCTATTCATACAAGAACTGAACATGGAACGAACGCTTTTCAAAGTTTTGTATCTCAAAAATGTAATTACTTTCCAGCTTTTGCAAATCTTTTTCATCTTTCCGGTCTTGTGCAAATTTGACATTGTGGTGACTTTCACATTTTAATCATTTGATTTTAGAATTGTATAACTTTTTCTAACGGTATTATTATTATTATTGTGCTTTGTGTGTGTTACAGGGTGTGAAGTGGGTTGTCGATGAAGAAAAGAGTTTGGGATTCTTATACAGTAGTACTCTCAAGTGCTGTAATAATAATAATAATAAAAAAGATCTAATCAAACATATATAACTTAATACTGTTGTACTTCACCAAAAACTAATAGTAAGTTCCATCCATCCATTTTCTTCCCCTTAATCCATTTCTGGGTCGGGGGGGTGCCAGTCAGAGCTCCACCCAGTACACTTAGCACCAGCCCCTCACTGATCCTCCTGCAGGTGGTGAGTCCACAGGAGCTGAGATCTTTCAGTGGGAGCTTCAGTCCAAGTGGGGTTAAGTGTCTTGCCCAAGGACACAACGACAGCAGTCATCAGTGGGAGTCGTGAAGTAGGTCTTATGGTGGGCTTGAACCCACGACCTTCAGGCCCAAAGGCCAATGCTCTACCAACTGAGCTACTGTCGTTAATAGTAAGTTAGTCAGGTTTATTTAAATGGCGCATTTTACAGACCAAGGTCTTCCAAAGCGCTTTACAATGTTCAGAGGTCAGATATTGTTCCAATCATTCCACACACGGTGATGACAGAAGCGCGCCACTCTCTCAACTACATACATACCTATTGAGCATGTTTTTAGTGGTAGGGGAAACCGGAGCACCCGGAGGAAAGCTACGCAGACACAGGGAGAACATGCAAACTCCACTCAGAAAGGCCCTGTTCCAACCGGGATTTGAACCAAGGACCTTCTTGCTGACCACTGTGTATGAAGTGAAATAATAATGACATGTGAAAAAGCGTTATATAAAATTGATGCATTTTATTATTATCATTATTATTAAAATGCACTATATAAAAAAATATGACTTATACAATATTACCTTCTGACAGCCTACACAAAACCATTTGCACAACTCTCTGGTAGGGCCATGTCTTTCAAAGCGCTGCACGTTTGCCTGAGCCTTGTCCACCATTAGCCGTTAGCAGTGCCCTGTGATCCGTGCTACAGTGTGTTGATAGTGCAGTGGCAGAGACTGAGGCTGCTGGAGTGTTGCAGGTTAACAAGGCCATAACTCACAAAAACTGCCCCATTGACTTTGACACGGAGGATTAAAGTCTGGGAGCCGAGCCACGGTAAACTCTGCTTCACCAAACAAAAGAAGGACGCTGCAGGCTGCACAGGCAAATAAGAGTCTATTTACATAACAAATCTAACAATATGATACGATCTGAGCGCACTTTTGTCCTCGGCACCAAGCGCAAGGACCTCCCGCACCTGAGAATGTAGGGGAATTAAAGAAGTACACAAACGTACACAATGCCTCATCAGTTCTTCATTATCTGGCTCATACATTAAGCAAAAACACAAGAATTGCTTCAGTCTTTTGGAATAGGTTGTTGTGCTAGAAAGTGTACACACCCAGAAAGGTGAAATACCTTTTGCGCCATCGCCGTTTTGTAGAATATTTTTACTTTTTTGCAACATGCTTCTCGTGGGCAGCATGTATACTCCAACAACATTATATACAACATCACATTACCGCTAGTATACCATGACAACGACAAGAAAATCTTGTGTGCCCTTCAGCGCGGTGTCCATTGCAGCTGTATTTTACTGTGTATGTACAGCTTATGACAGCTGCAGCAGCACTCAGACCCATACCAAGCAGGTTTGATATCCCCAAGATCGCAGTTCAAGTGGTTCAAGTGGTTAGAAAAGTGCATACATCTTTTGGTGAGGACGTTTTGCAGCCTTAGAACATAAGCAAAACAATTATAAAAAACAGTAGTTCATATAACTTCTTGGCTCAACCTGTAACATAGTTTTATAATAGTCCATTTCATCTGAATTTGTTGTTTCAGTGTTGTCAAACTTGTATTTAAAACTTTATATGGACTAGCAACTGAACCACTCAGTTGATTTGTGAATAGACTCTTCAGCTCCTCCAGGGCCACACACACAGACAGTAAAGTGGGCTTCTGCAAAACCTCTTTCGCTCACACTGTGTTCTTAGTGAAAGAGGCGAACATTCCGTGCTCCAATCGATGGGATTCATAAAAACAGTCGACGAGTTTTGGTCTCATCTTATTACTCCAACTTTGTAACTGTAATTGTAAATACAATTGCTATCATACATTTATTGTAAGCACACAGTAATCACAACACATTTTGTTTAAGTTGGGTTTGATTGTCAAAGACGTTCAGCTGCTGCATTTTAAATCATTGCATTTCTGCGGCGCTCTTCATCAATCGAATTGGAGTAGGTTTTCACAAGAGCGTTGTAAAAACACTCAGTGTGATTGTGTCTAAATCATGTTCATTTTCTATTTTTGTCTCATTTACTAATGCTTTTTCATAGTTACCTATGCCCAGGAGGTGAAGTGATCGCTGGCGTTTGAGAGAAATAAAATGTGAGGATTTGGACAGAATGTTCAGGAAACGTGCACAATGGCCAATGAATGAGTGAAGCAATTTTGGAGGTGATCCAAATCATTGTCTGGATGTAGGTCCGAGCTCTATGAGTTGTTCATTTGTTTAGAATGGGACAGGGTGCATTAAAGAACAGCAGGTACTGTAAATACACCAGATTGCTGCCTTGGGGTAATACCCTTCTGTTGTTCCACAGTCACACTCACAACACACTCATTCATAAAGAAAACATGGAAGAAACCGGAGTACCAAGTGGCAGACACATCGTTGTGAAACCTCAATATTGCTTTAAGAAATCTGATCTGTCATAAGCCCTTCTCGGAAGTGGTGTTTGAAAACAGTCATGGCTATAACACAGTGAAACAGCATCAGTTTGTGGCACCTGTCCCTATCAAATAAACATTAATAATAGATTTGTGTATCTTAGTGTGTCCCGACGGACCAAATCCACAACTTGCTGCTACATTTCTATGGTAACGGTTGTTTTCTTATGTCAGTTCCAGAGATTAAACTGTATACGGTTTTCCTGATCATTAACCCCTTCTGCGGCGCTCAGTGAGGACTCACCCAGCAGGATGATGATGCAGATGAGGATAGCGATGATGGCGCCGGTGCCCAGCCCAGCGGCAATGATCCTCTCCATGTCCACGCAGTCGCCATGGTGATCGCACTGGCACACTTTCACCCTGAGGTAGGACGTGTTGGACATGGGCAGGTTCCCAGAGTCTGTGATGATGATGGGGATCTCGTAGATCCCACTGGCCAAAGAGCCGATCCTCAGACGGAGCTGGGCGTATTCTCCTGAAGCAGACCACAGAACATCATTAACCAACTCTGGAAATAAGTATAAACATAGAATAATAATACACAATGCAACCGGATCGAATGCATGGTGCAGAGTTTGTTTTGACCTTGTTATTTGACCACAATAGTACCACTGAGATTTCAGAAGGCCTTTTTCAGCGGAGTCCTGGCCTCAGAAGGGAAGAGCCTATTGTACTTGTTTTATGTGTTTAGGAAAACTGCATGTTCTCACCTCGTCTGTGTAGCTTTCCTCCAAACGCCACTCAGAAACGCACCGTGCCAGGACCTTATTGCAAAGAGACGAGCGCACTAACCACATAGCCACGATTTGGCTCATTCATATAGATTGAATAAATGCATGAATTCTATAATATTTGTAGTAAAGACCTTTTTAATGTATTAAAGAAAAGTTATTCTAATGCATGGAATGGGTATTTTCTGATCCAATAAGCTCTCCAAACTCATATTTAATGAATACATTTGTATCACCATCTCACAGAAGCAGTCACAACTTCCAACATGCTGGACTGTTGAGAACATTTGTAAGGAAGATTATTATTGCATTATTAACTGCAGAAATAGTCTGAACAACACTAATGCATGGACTAAAACAGAAAAGAGAAAACATAAGTAAATTTCAAGCCAATAAAATGCAAAGCTCAGTTGAATGGAAAACCCTAAAGATTAACTTCACGTTCATATTTTAGTCAGGGTTAAGGAGGTTACATTTACATCATTAAATATTAAACTGTTTTTTTCCTTCATCTTGTTTTCCTGCTGCTTAATCTTTGATATGGGATCTTTTCTTGCAGAGAACATCTCACCAGTTTGTAGAATGGATTTATTTGCCACGAGTCCTGCAGACAGCCTCCTCATTAGTGTCTTAAGTGTCACCATTTTACCGGAGGAGATTGTCCCAAAACATGAACGAGGAAGAAAGAATGTCATTTACTGAACAGAGACATGAATCAAATGTGACGAATGTAATAACAACCTCATCAGAAGGAACACACAGGGAAATGGCTTTTTACGCACACTGTAAATCAGTCTAACAAACTACTATTGTCAATATCGTTTTACAACATTGTGAGCTCAGATTGCTGCCCCCACGACCCGGCTTCGGATAAAGCAGAAGAAAATGGATGGTAGACTTTAAAAACATCGAGACCCCAAGATTAGCTGCGGACTGAATCATGAGACTCCAGACTAAGTAATAATAAGGGGGTGACAGTCATAGTCGATGCTGGACCATGACTGTCACCCCCTGCAGACACTGGACTTCAGTGACAGACTTATTCACTCTCGCTGTGTGAAGGAGAGGTTCAGCAGGTCTTTCCTTCCAGCTGCTGTCAGACTGTACAATGAGAACTGCTGAGCCTGTACATGTCATTCATCTGTAAATAGTAAATACTGTAATCATATGCAATGTGCAAGCAACCAAACCGTTTTAACCTTGCGTTGTACAGTTCCTACATGTGACATAATGTTTTGTTTATGGATTCAAGAGCACATGTCCGGAACCTTGTTTGCCAGCGGGTAAACCATGTCTACATATAAATCCCAGTCTAATTTGAATTGTAAATGTTTTCACGTAATCAATATTTAAACATCGATAGTGAAAGCTATCAAATAATGGATGTATTTTTAACACTGCTCCACCGTGGCCCTATGTGGTTACCAATGATTAATTCAGAAGGCTAGAAAAAATATATTGATCCTTGCAGCATTTACTACTATACCACAGCAAAGGTTTAGTAGTAGTAGTAGTAGTTTATTCGGTCATTTCATTCCTTTAAACATAAAACATAAAACAAGCAACATCATAATTTGTGCACAAACCACCGAAAGGGTTTAGGCTGAAGTAAAAACTTATTGTGCCTAACCCAATTTACAAACTTCCACGAGAAACAAACACAAACATTTATCGTAAACAATATCAAGTGTCAAACAGAAGAGAAATAAGCATGTACTTAGAATACATATATGTAAATATACGTTTGTTTTACATTAATTTATTTTAACTAAATCATGTCATTTAAATTCATTCATTATGGATCTATTAAAGTCTAGTTTCTTACTTTATTCATCCTTAACTTGTATATTTTAGGATGATAGTAGATTTATACAACTTTTTGAAAGCTTTGACTGTTTTAGACTGTTTTAAATGATCTTCTAAATCGTTCCACAGATTAACACCTCTTACAGAAATACATCGACTTTTTTTTATTCTTTTTAGCTTTTGCTTTTTTGAAAATGGCAGTTCCTCTGAGGTTATACGGACTTTCCCTGTGTTCAAAAAGCTTCTGGATGTTTGGAGGGAGAAGATTATTATGTGTTTTATACACTATTACTAAAGTATTTAGATCAACAAGATCATGGATTTTCAATAGACTTAGCTCTACAAAAATGGGAGTTGTTGGTGCATAGAAATCTGCTTTAGTGATAATTCTTATTGCCTTTTTTTGGAGTAGGAAAATAGGATAAGTATTGGATTTGTAATTGTTTCCCCATATTTCCAAGCCATAATTTAGGTAAGGAAGTATGAGGGAGTTATACAGTAATAGAAGAGATTTTTTATCAAGTACAGTTTTCATTTTTCCGATTACAGCAATGATTTTTGCTAATTTTGTTTTTAATGTGCTTATATGCGATTTCCATTCAAGTTTTCCATCAATGGTAACTCCTAAAAATTGATTTGCTTGAACTCGTTCAATTTCAGTATTATTTATTTTTAGAGTGGTATACACACTAACTTTTCTATTTCCAAAAATTATATATTTTGTTTTACTCAGATTCATTGAAAGTTTGTTTAGATCAAACCATTTTTTTAGAACTGTGAGCTCGTCTTCTACTGTGGAAAGGAGTTGTTTCAGATTCTTTCCAGAGCAGTACAGGCTGGTATCATCCGCATATAATAAACATTTTACGTTTGTCAAAGCTTCACACACATCATTAATATACATTATAAACAATTTTGGACCCAAAATAGAACCTTGTGGAACTCCATGTGTGAAGTTTTTTTTCAGAGTCAACATTGTGTATTTGTACATATTGGTATCTGTTGCCAAGATAACTTTCCAGCCAGGCATATGCAGGTCCCCTAACACCAAACCTTTCAATCTTTTTTAAAAGCTTTGTATGGTCTATGGTGTCAAAGGCCTTGCTCAGATCGATAAAAACACCCACTGCATATTCGCTATTATCTATTGCTGTAGCCAGATCTTCCACAAGAGCCATGATTGCAGTTGTAGTCGATCGGTTTGATCAAAAACCATATTGATGTTCACTTAACAAATTGTATTTGTCAACAAAATTGTCAAGCCGAATTGCAAATAACTTTTCCAAGATCTTGGAGAATTGCGGCAGAAGCGAGATAGGTCTGTAGTTATCGAATAAATGTTTATTTCCATTTTTATACACTGGAACTACTTTTTCAGTTTTCATTTCTCTTGGGAAGGTGCCAGCAAGAAAGGACTGATTGCAAATGAATGTTAAAGGTTTTACCACATAGTGGATAATATCTTTTACTATCATCATATCGATGTTAAAACAATTTGTTGACCTTTTATTCTTCATTTTTTTAACAATATCTATTATTTCATTTTCCTCAACCTCTCATATGAAAAGTGAGTTTAGATTTTGTTTTGAGCCATTACTATTTAATCTTTTTGTGTCTTTAAGTTCAACGATTTTGTTAGCTAATGTAGGTCCAACATTAGTAAAAAAAGTATTTAGGGCATTTGCAATTTCCTTCTTATTTTCTATGGTTTTGTTTTCATTGACAAAAAAGTGGGGCAGACTAAATGTTTTCTTGCCCTTCTTAATTATTTCATTTAGTATTTTCCAAGTCCCTTGAGTATCATTTCTGTGTTATTCCAATAAGTTATGATAATAGTTCCTCTTATTAGATCGAATTATGCTTGTCAACTTATTTTTATACAATTTATATTTATTTTCCGTTTCTACAGTTCTACGTTTTATGTATGATCTATACAAATGGTTTTTCTTTTTACATGCTTTGATAATACCATTTGTAAACCATGGCTTATCAGTTCCAGTTTTATGGTTGACCTTGCACATTTTAAGAGGACATTGCTTGTCATATAGTTTTGTGAAAATTGACAGGAAGGTGTTTTAAGCAATATCAAGGTCTAGAGAGGCATAGACCTCATTCCAGGTCTGGGCCAAAAGATCCCATTTAAGGCCAGCAATAACCGTTTCAGATATTTTAGCTTTACATAAAATTCCATGAAAAATTCCGAAAACGGGGAGATGATCAGTGATATCATTTATAAGTAATCCAGCTGTATTTTTGTTCTCAATTCCATTAGTGAATATATTATCTATTAGTGTAGCCGTGTCAACTGTTATTCTTGTTGGTTTGAGGATAAGAGGGAAGAGACTATTACTATACATTGTTGTGATAAAGTCTGTTGTTTTTGTGCTGTTTTGCAAGTTTAATAGGTTTATATTAAAATCTCCGCAAACAATGTGCATCTTATTAGCATTACTAAGCAAACCATCTAATTTCTGATTGAATATATCCAGGCACGATCCAGGTGTTCTATACAGGCAAGTAACAGTAATCGTTTTGGATTCCACAGTAATAATTTCAACAGTTAAGCATTCTAAAATACCATCGATGGTAATAGACTTACTGTGAACCACCTTAGTTCTGAGATCAGTGTCCACGTACATAGCAACCCCCCCTCCTTTCTTATTTTTTCTGTTCAGCATAAATAGTTCATATCCCTCCAATTCTACATCAAGACCTTTCTTATCCTCCAACCAAGTCTCAGACACGGCAATAACACTAAATTTCTTGAACTGACTCAAGTAGTCCTTTATTTTTTCGTAATTTTTGTACAGGCTCCGGCTATTAAAGTGAATTATTGTGAGTGCATCATCAGTTTTAACGTCTTTAAACTGCTCATTGGTATAATATTTACAATCATTTATACTGTTATTAAAGAAATGTTTATCAGGGTCTATGTCACTCCAGAAATCGTTACCTCTATGGTCCAAATGATCGTGTAGATTAAGTGTCATATGCTCGTATTCTAGAGGTAAGTCATTTATATTATAGTTTACAGAATCCGATTAATGTGTCTCGATGTTACTGAATGCTTCAATTAATTCATCTTCACTAGTCATTTGTCTTTCCTGCACACACACACATGCACACATACATATTCATGCTCACAACCATCCACACACACACAATCAAACTGCATCTTGTAAATAAAAAGAAAAAAATGTGTAGCCTGCACAACATTCCCAGTCCAGTAGAAGTCATATTGTCCATGTCCTTTTTATCGATATAGTGTACAATTCTTCTTCGTAGTATCTCCAGTCCAGTAACAGCATGCACAACATAGTCACAGAACATAGCAAATCCATTCCCAGGTTGTTCGATTCCAAGTCTTCGCACAGCATCATTTTAGTCCAGTTTAGTCCGGTGAAAAGGCTAGCATTATTGTCTGTATTCATCAAGGTCTGAAAGCTCCCTTACCGGTACAACTTTTGCTTGCTCCGGCGTGGCTCCGTTGAGTTGGATGAAGATCTTGCAGTTCCTGGTCCATGTCGCTTTTATCTTATTGTTCTTCCTTAGAATCCGGGCTTCTCCCGCAATCCCAGCATTCTTTTTCGTGAGATGTTCGTTCAAGTAAACCAAACTGTCTCTCAGCTTCCTTCCTTGGCGCAGAAGTTCAGTTTTGAACTTTCGGTTTGCAAAACGCAGGATAATAACTGCTGGCTTGGCTCTGTCCTTACTCGGGAGAGTATGGCACGCTGCGATGTTTTTCGCCTCCAGCAGAATATCCTTTTCTGCAAAGAATTGCACGACTTGCCTTTCCAGCGTTAGCTGCTCAGCTGGATCGGCATCCGCACTAACATTACTTCCATGCACTGCAGCTCTGGCGTAAGAACGAGGTTTCACGCGCAGACCTGTAATTATAACGTCCTCCATCCTCGTGTACTGCTCCAAGTTCTCGATCCTCATTGCTAGATCCTTGATCGTTTTGTCTTTCTCGTGAATGACATCCTTGAGTTGCTTTACTTCCTCGACTAGTTGCATTAGCTTAGTCAGCTGTTGGGTGACTTTAGCCAACTCGCCAGTCATATGATTTATTGAGATGCGCATCTCTTCCATCTCGTTCTCCATCTGTGTTGCTCTCTTTGGCAGCATCGTCCCACTTTTTTGCGTGTTTATTAGTTACTTAACTTATTTGAAGCAAGAAATATTACTTTATGTCGAGCAGTGTTTTGACAGTCACACAGGGCGTCGCCATCTTGGATGTTGGGGTGTTCATTAAAGAACAATCACTGAAGTTTTACACAGTGATAAATGTGAATCATATTTTTGTGACGCATTGATTGTCTTAAAGTATATATCAGTTTGTTTCTGAAATGTGAAGACAGATTTTTTTCCCCAAAGCAAGCGTCGGTTAGACCCACACTGCTTCCTAATTGGACAGAATACATTTAAATCCTTGATATACAGAAGAGGCTCCTTGCTGTTGGTCCTACTAGTCTCCTCCAGCAAATCTGATTGGAGGTGGTTATGCCGAAGAGAGGGACGGTATTAAACATTGTTTTTGGAAAATACATACAGTATTATATGTGATAAATGGTCATATAATCAAAAATATGCATTCTTTTGTTTTATTAAATCCAATTGTTTAAGTATGTGTAAGATACCACCGATGATATCACCAAAGAATTGAAGGCTCTGGGGGAGCTAAAATTTTTATCATATAGAATTCTTTCAGATTGTCCAAACAGAACCAGTCCGGTAAAAGTAAAATATTACGAAACAAATAAGACAACAATATTCCTTCTTCATATTTTTAGAAAACATGCAACTTTTTGTATACTTGTAAGTAAGAGCCAAGTGAGTCTCTATTGGACTCTTTGGGGTGAGAGCTAAGTGAGGGTTTCTTTCTCTTTTTCGCTTTGTCTGAAAAAGCGGATCTAAAGTTGACATGCTGCTGATCTAAAGATAACCTGTTGTCCCTTTGTCTGTTTCATGGCGCGACAACGGGACCCTTGAACCCGGCTCCTTCCATCTGCACCTGCGGACCGTGCCCGGACCATTTAATGATGACTTGACAAGAAAATCTTACATATCGCTGCTTTAAGCACTTTGAGTAGCCTTGTGTATGAACTGTGCTATACAAATAAACTTGTCTTGCCTCGGTGTAGTTCAATTTCTTATGGTTTGAAAGTCAGTGCCCCAAGCTTTAACGATGTGTGCCAGATGACAACTCCAACTGCTGTTTTTGGAAGGTCTTACATTATGCATGTCTTTCAATGGAACCACGTCACTCACCGTTGAGCCTGGCGAGCGTCCAGTTGCGGCGCACGTCTGTGGGGCGGTTGGCGAGCTCGAAGGCGAAGGGTCCTGCGTTGGGGTTGAGGTCGGGGTCGTTGGCCGTGATGTTGATGCCGCTGGGGTCCGGCCGCTCGCACATCTCTACTTCGGGAGGAAACACGTGTGGGGCATTGTCGTTGATGTCCAGCAGGTACATCTGCAAGGTCCCAGTGCCACTGGCCGGAGGGATGCCTGCCAACAGAGAATAAGAAGAAGGAGTAGTTACGTGACGTGTTTATGACAGGCCAGAACAATCATTCTAACACTAGGGGCACGGTCATATATAGGTTTTAGGACGAACTAGGCCAAGTGGCCCAGATCGTTGCCACAGGGGTGTTGAAGAAGTTTCTGTTTCTCTTCGCTACTGTGTGCCCAGTTGCCATGGTCACACAGTACCTAAAGCCTAGATCTAATCTTGTTCTGGGCCTGGACCCGCTTTAACTGGTCTTTAGGTTGTGCTTGTGACCGCAGCCAAGACTCTCAGCAGAGCTGCCATTTTGTGAGAAACTTCCCTTAAAATGTTGAGTTTATTAAAAGTAAGTAATTTATGGATAAACAACCAATCGCCCTCAAAAGCAAACTGGCACAAGATAATCATGGAGTGTTTAGCTATTGCTAAAGACCAAAAGCTAACTGCTGCAAGTAAACAGGGCATTGCTATGGTAACTAGCACTGGCTCCTCTCTGGTGGAAAACAACCTAATCACAGCCATGTCTCCATCCCACCACCACCAATCTTTCACGCAAACACCAGACTCATATTAAGCAATGTGGATGAGTTTGCAGTCGCCCCAATGTGCCACCTGCTGTTTCAATAGGTCTCCCATCACAATTTTAGCCAGGCCCTGCCCTGCTGTGCTTGAGAGATTAGACAGGATGGGGCTAAATCAAAGCAAAATTAGAGTTTAAAATGTTTGTTTTGTAAATTATGAAAATCTTTTCAATAACAAAGTATGTCAGTGTGGAACTTCTAGTATTTTAAAATGTAAAAAAGTCTTCACAAAATTCAGTTAGTTAAATATAATTTAAAACAAGTTTTAATTCCACCTAAATCGAGTCAGAATGAGAAAGTGTGGATTTTGATAAAAATACGGAGAATACATTTGAGAACAGGGAAAGCAATTAGAACCAAAGCCTGACGTTGATTTGGCAAATCACTCACTTCAAAAGGTAGCTGTTTTGGAGAGCTGACTTTTCCTCAAAAAATTGTCCGATACCTGAGTAAAAGCAGTCTTCTCTCTCTGTGGTCTCTCTTGCTCTCTCTCTTTCTCTCCGGTCCCTCTCTCCCTGGTCTCTCTCTCCCTCTGGTCTCTCTCTCCCTCTGGTCTCACTTTCTACCCCTGGTTTCTCTCTCTATGGTCTCTCTCTCCGGTCTCTCTCTGGTCTCGCCCTCTCCCTCTGGTCACACTCTCCCCCCGGTCTCTCTGTGGCCTCTCTCTCCTTGGTGTCCCTCTGGTCTTGCTCTCTCTCTGGTCAGTGAGGCTAATCTCAATTCTTGTGTTTCATATGACGTCAGGGCAGTGGCGCAAATTACAAACGTGGGACAGGACGCGACGTATCCTGGCGGTGCACAGTGGCGGAGCCAGACTTATAAACAGAGGGTGGCCAGGGGGTGGCAAGGTTTTTTTTAAGGGGTCCACATTTATACAATTCAGAAATTTTATTTCACACAAAAACTGGCTAAACGATACATTTTAATCTTAATCTTAATTTAATTTTGTATGTAAAGTGAACTGAGTGCACACTTGGAAACTACAAAGAAAAAAAGTGTATTTAAACAGTAGTCTGAACAAAAAAAGTGCAAAATGACATAGTTCAAACATTGCATTACATTTTTCTTTTAAGAAATTTAGCAAATTCCTGCGGTTCTGGTGTAAAGCAGCAACAATGTTGACAAACTGTTGAGCCCCTTAGCCCTCCTTGACTCTACACTGAGGATACCAAGATGACTATCATCTGCCATGGTAGGTCTGAGATGATTTTTAATGAGTTATAGGGCAGAGAAACTTCTTTCACAAGATGTAGTACAGACAGGTATTAAAAAAGAGATCTTTGCAAGCCTCAAAAGCTCATGAAACACTTTCCAAACGTTCCAAAAAGACAAGGAAGTCCAATAGGAACTCTCTAATCCATTTTTCCCTCACAAGAAGCCGCCTAGTTTGATGTACCTCATGCATAAGGTCCTCAATATCTGACTCAAAGGTTCTGCCAAATGCACACAGGGGCTCTTCTTTTAAAAAAGGCTTTGGGGTCAAACGACTGCACTCAAGCCCAAAGCCCCCCCCTGGAGCCCAAAGTCCCCCCCTTGTGCTGACGACCACAAGCTAGCTGACGACCTGAACGTTTTTTTCAGTCGCTTTGATGCTGCCCCTGACACCTCCCCCACCCCCCACTACTCTAACGACCCACCCATCAGCTCTGCCCCCACCCTGACAATAGCCTCTAAAGCTATCAAACAACTCTTCTTGAAGCTGCACCCCCACAAAGCTCCTGGCCCGGACAACGTGTCTCCGGCCTCTCTGAGACACTGCGCCAGTGAGCTTACTCCTGTGTTCACTGACATTTTCATCACCTCTCTGCAGTCCTGCCATGTCCCGGCCTGCTTCAAATCCTCCATCATTGTCTCCGTCCCGAAGAAGCCCAGGATCACAGGACTTAATGACTACAGACCTGTAGCACTTATGAAGTCATTTGAACACCTAGTCCTCTCCCATCTAAAGTCCTTCACCTCCCCCCTCCTGGACCCCCTGCAGTTCGCCTACAGAGCCAACAGATCTGTAGACAACGCCATTAACCTGGCCCTCCACCACATCCTACAGCACCTGGACTCCCCGGGGACCTACGCCAGGGTCCTGTTCGTGGACTTCAGCTCTGCCTTCAACACGATCCTGCCATCCCTGCTCCAGGACAAGCTCTCCCAGCTCAACGTGCCCAATTCCACCTGCAGGTGGATCACTGACTTCCTGACAGACAGGAAACAGCGAGTACGTCTGGGGAAGAATGTCTCGGACTCTCGGATTATAAATACAGGTGTTCTTTCTCCCCTGCTCTTCTCCCTGTACACCGACCACTGCACCTCCAGCCACAACTCTGTGAAGCTGATCAAGTTCGCGGACAACACCACCCTCATTGGACTCATCAACAACGATGAGTCCGCCTACAGGAGGGAGGTGGACCGGCTGGTGTCCTGGTGCAGTGGTAACAACCTGGAGCTGAACGCCCAGAAGACAGTGGAGATGATTGTGGACTTCAGGAAGAGCACTGTCCCCCCGCCCCCACCCTCCGTGATGGACTCCCCCATCACCTCTGTGGAGTCCTTCCGTTTCCTGGGCACCACCATGACCCAGGTCCTCAAGTGGGAGCCGATCATCAGCTCCCTCATCAAGAAGGCCCAGCAGAGGATGTACTTCCTGCGGCAGCTCAGGAAAGCCAAGCTGCCTGCACAGATGTTGGTGCAGTTCTACACGGCCATCATCGAGGCCATCCTCACCTCCTCCATCACCGTGTGGTTCGCTGGAGCCACAGTCAGGGACAAACAGAGACTACAGTGCATTGTGCGCTCTGCAGAGGAAGTGATCGGCCGCAGCCTTCCATCGCTGCAGGACCTGTACGTCGCCCGAGCTCGAGGCCGGGCTGGTCGTATCACAGCCGACCCCTCTCACCCTGCACATGGACTATTCCAACCACTCCCCTCAGGCGGGAGGCTGCGGTCCATCAGGACTAGAACCTCCCGCCACAAGAACAGTTTCTTCCCCTCTGCTGTTGGACTCTTGAACACTTCTTAACCTGTCCCCCCGCCCTTTATAATGTCACTTTACTGCCCATCATACGTCACTTTACTTCACTGTACTGCTGTTCACCTTACATTGTGTGCACCATGTGCACTTGTATATTGTAAATAGTAACTGTAACTCTATTTTAAATTTAAATTTATTCCTTAGAAGTGTTTTTTATTCTTTATTTTTTATTATCTCTTTCTGACTGTTGCACTGAGCCAAAGCAATTTCCAAGACTGTGACTTCCTGTTACTTACGTGGCAATAAAAATGATTCTGATTCAATCCATAATCTCAATGTTTTTTTGTGTGGGAAAAACGCCTCTCTAATTCTGACAATAGACAATCCAGCACCTGTCTATGACTCCCTCTCATTCTCTGAAACTGAATTATATAAGCTATATTTTTTTACAACACAACAAAACAAATTCCTCATTATTGTAAAGATAATTAAATGCAGATGTTAAACGTGAAGATCTCTTGTCTCGCTCTTGCATCGACTTTGGATACGTCAGTCAAAGGGGGGACTTATTGACTCCATACTGCCTCCGAGTCTGACCTTCAGGTGAGGTTTTATCATCCTGATCTACAGGCCTTTTCTTTACAAAAAAAGACGCAATGTCTTCTCTTTTTCTTTTCATGTTCACACTAAAGGGAAGAGGGCGATGATACAACGTGCAATTAATAATGGAAAATACACACGCATGCACACACACGCAGGCACGCACGCACGCACACAGGCACGTAGACACACACGCAGACACACAGGCACGCACACAGGCACACACACACACACTTAAAGTACTACAAACTGAACAAATAATGCGCTGCAGTACTTGTGTCTATACTTTATGTCAAATGTAAACGGTTGGCTCTGCATCGCTAACTTACCCCTTTGTTTTCATCACAAGTTGGGCACACATGTGAGTCCAACAACCAATGAAAAGCATTAGCATACAGCACCGGCTCCACGAGTCAGGGTGCGTTCACAGACGGTGGAAACTGTGGGAATTTTTTGTTTTTGGCAGAAAAAGTGCAGAAGATTCTCAAGATTAACATTATTACATTGCCGTCTTCCGAGGGGGGGCACTGGGGGTGGCAAGGGTATTTTTAGAGGTGCCAGTGGCCACCCTGGCTTCCCCTCTGGCCCTGCCACTGGCGGTGCAGTCTGCCGGGTGTATACACGGAAATATAGAAGAAGAAGAAGCGCTGTCAAAATGCCATCTTTTTGTGCGGTGTACGCTCGTAGCAACCGCCCAAATAGAGAGAAAGACAAGACTTTCTTCCGTGTTCTAACTGTGGTCTCATATAAAGGAGGACACTTTGAAAAAAATCACTCGAATGAGGCGGGTAAGGTGGATCAAGGCTTTCCCAGCTAAGCGCCCCCTGCAGGCCACCAAAAATGGCCAGTTTAATGAAACCCAAGAATAAGAGTGCTAATTGTATTATCTATTCCTTATTCTGTTAAATCGTTGACTGGTGATCACTCCATAATCCAGGACGTGCAGATGTAGTTTGCTTGCGTGCTTTTTTGTCCTTGTCACGTACTATATTATTGTGAAATGAAAAGTTTGATTATATTTAGTTTTGGGTGTGGGGGTGTTTTAGCAGAATTAATACCGTTTAAATAAATGAAAAAAAAAAAACAAATACATAAAAAGAATGATGACAAAAGCGTCCATCGTGTCATTTACAGTTTCCTTCATCACTGGCTGCACTTCCCCCCTCCTCTCCCTCATGTGGAGGGAAGATCCGCTTCTGTCCCATCACACTCACATACAGTATCCCCCCTCAGTGCATCAGCTGCGGAGCAAGAGGCGCTGATCCGTGTCAGCACTGGACATATGGTGACCCGTGTGAGAGCGAGAGGCAAGGACAGGGAATCTGCAAAGACAGGGCTTTTTCGAGGCAAACCAGGCACGCAGCAGGTACAGAGGGCAAAAGAAGTTCAACCAGGGCCACCGGACTCTTTTGTGCAAATTAACTTAGATTAAATTATCTATAAAAGGGGCATATACAGTTGGGGTATCTTTAAGAGTTTGCCGAATGTCTGTATATAGTTGTAATTTTAAGATTGATTGCACCTAGAGTCAAAGCAAAATTCTACTTTGTTTGACTTCCTGTTACTTACAATGGCAATAAACAGAAGTTTGATTCTGATTCTGTTACAAGCACCTAGATACAGGACACTTTCAATTCCAGATGATTTGATTAATTATATTTCCAATCGATTAGACATAATTCAGCAAAACTAGAATCAAATCGCAGTGATGATATGGGACATTACTGGATGTTTTTGGACCAATGGCTCCTATGTGTTTTGTTATTATTGTATTTTCTGTGTTTGAACTGTTTGATTCCCTGATCTGTTGTTGGCGAATTGACAACTTTGATTGTGATAGTGATATAGGGCTATACAAATAAAACCTTGAATTGAACACATTATTGGCGTTTTTGAATTTAATTTTTTGAAGATTAAATCCTGCTGTTTGCAGTGTGTGGATCACTGACTTTACAACATATTATCACAAAATTTACTTTTTATCTATAAAAAACAAAATAATACAAACAATATTGTATCTTAAATAATCTGGATATTTATCTAAAAGTTGAAAAAAGTTTGCACAGCCCTATATACAATCTGTAAGCTCACAAAGGAAAGTTTAGAAGTTCAAAGACAGCATTGCACTCTCAAATTGTTGATGCTTTTTTCATCTGAGACCAGAGACAAAGATCTGATGAGATCTGGGGACCTGAAATGTCACGACAAAAATCTGCAATTTGAGAGAGCAATGTTTTCTTTGAACTTTAGATACATTCTTCCTGCATCTGCGTTTCATAGAGAGATATTGTGGTGTGAGTGACTTTGAAAGTGAAAGAAAGCACAAGGATATCTGATAAGGCCATCGCTGAAGATGATTTTAGCGATTGACTTGGGAAAATAGTTTATGTCCATTAGTAAAATTATCATTTCATTTGTACAACTACATTTGTATTTATTTTTTCTAAAATAATAAAGGTGAACATATGTTGACTAAAGGCATTCAGAAAATACATGAACTAAGAGTGTTATGAGTACAAATCAGATTCATTTATCCATTTAATGACTACAGATATCAAAATACATTTACAGTGTCTATTAGTTTTACGAGTTTAATTTTTGAAAATCATTGAAAGTAATCACAAATGATGACTAACTAATGAACGTTAGAGTTTCGCTTTTCAGCCCGAGGCCGAGCAGGCCCGAGGCCCCACCTGAGTTCGGGCCGGGCTCGGGCCTCATTTGGCGCTCAGCTGTCGGGTTCGTACCGGGCTCGGGCTTCTTTTTTTAAATATATGTTTCTTTTTTATTATTATTATAATTATTTTTAAATTATTTTTTTACATAATGATATGCATATATTATATATATATTAATAACAATGTCCGTTGTCCTGCATGGTCTCCTGCTGCATGCTGTGGTCAACAGCGAACAGGAACAATAGTAGAAATGGATCAAGTGGAGACAAAACAAATTCAAAAGTGGAGACTAAACTTGCAATTGGAAGGTGAGTGCGTACAACAAGGAAATCAGATGTGTCGGGTTCTGTCGGGCTCGGGCCTGTTATACAGCGTTCATTGGTCGGGCTTATACGGGCTCGGGCTTAACATTAGCGGGCTCGGGACGGGTCGGGCTTCATTTTTCAGGCCCAAACGAAACTAATGAACGTGCCTCTACTATGCAACTTCCTGTTACATAATTTTTACATTGTTATTTCAATATTTCAATCATACATCATTCAGAGTGGTTTTCCCGAAGAGCAGGCTTTCTGTTGCACAAATTGATTTAATGGAACATTTTCCCGTTTCGAACAGAGGGTCCTCTCTTTTCCTTTGCCTAAAAAGCAGCTTTTGTGACGGGCACAGGCTGCAGCAGACGGAGGGATTGCGGCGCTAATGGCAACACAACACGAAGACTGTCCAACAAAAACAGGAAGCCGGTGCGGCCAAGGTACATTTAATTACGACAATTAGAAAATGCAATTAAAGGCAGAAGGCTCCAATCCGGCGTTCTGCTAATCGTTCGTCTGTGCAGATGAAAAAAAATCAAAACTCGTGTGTGATAAACATGCAGGAAATGTTTAGCCCCGTTTCCACCAGATCTACTTGGCTCTCTGGCCTCTTCTTCCCTCTATCCTAGAAACCTACCCACAACAAACCAGTATCCATGGACATTCTGTGGTAACCCTGGTGTCCAGCAACACCAATAATTGTCAGAAAACTTTTAGCAGCTTTTGTCCTTTTACCGTTATCGGAGGCCATGAACGTGACGTTGTAGAGGTTGTTTTTGACATAAGGAGATTCCCGGTCCAGAACGGCGATAGTGGAGATGCGGCCGTTCATGGGATCTATCTCCAGCCAGTTTGCCGGATCGAACATCTTTGAATACCTTGAGTTTTGAGAGGAAAAGAGAAAGAAAGAGAAAATGTTAGAAAATGCCATATGAAGCCTTCTCCATCAGATCTGGCTGCGGACCATGAGCTGGGACCGCTTATCCACATCCCGGTGGAAAACATTCTATATCTACATCTGCCGCTGGAATATGGTAAGTGGTACGGTACTCCTGCGCTTGGAGAAGGGCCATGATCGTGGCTTGGGAAATGACTACATTACATATTGAATGTAATAATTTGATTGGAACATCTGCATTCGCCGGCTGATTGGATCCAACTCGGACAAGATTATTTTGCGTGACCTACAAATCATGCATAGATTATATTAGTGATGGACAGAAGAGAAATTATGTAGGAAACGCATTTAAAAATGTAAAAGGAATATTTTTCACTTTGGTGATGAAAGAGCGGAGATCCTGCAGTCTTAATTGCAAATGCATGGCTTGTAAATAAACTTTTCCAGTTACTAGTGAGTCTAATGTGTGAAACGATTCCGAAAAAATATCGCAATTTGATGCTACTGCATTCATGACAATTTATCAATGTATCAATCCTCATGTAAAACTTGAGCATTTTCACTTCTCATTTTGTTACTTTAGACTCCAAGTAATAACCACACACTTGACGCACACACTCTTATGCAAACACAACACTCACACTTTTCACTTTTGTATTGTACGTCTGTCGTTGTTGTTGTAAATTGTGTTTTGTCCTTTACTTGTTCGTGCCTTGTATTTGTAATTTAAACATTTAAAAAACATAAACTTGCTATATATGCTATGATGAATCCTGTGCTATGACAATTATACCACGATGAGATCACAGAGAGAGTCACATGTGTGTCTCCTGAGTTGAAGAGAATAAATAAATCTGTATTTGTCAGTGGGGAAATGTTTAGGTCATAGTTGTACACATTACAGAAGAATAAAGGAGAAATTTTACTCCCATATTTTTGAAACAAACTGGCATCAGGCACATACTTTTCTTTGGTGGAACAAGAATTTGTTTACAAGTTTCATTAAACCCGGCAACATGCGGCACCCACAGCTTCCAGTACAACTAAAGAGTATCATACAACACTATTTGCATATACAACCAATTCCCTTGTAAACTTATACATCCCCCGATGTAACTTGCCAGGTAGTGAAATTGTAAAAAAAATTACATTTAGATCTAGTTGCATTCATTTCCTCAAGGCAAGGCAAGGTAAGGATATTTTTTATAGAGCAGTTCATAAAGAAAGCAACTCAAAGTGCTTAACAAAACAAGAAAAGAAAACAAAGGCATTAACATGATACATAATCGCACTACATTAAAAAGAGTGAAGATACAATTCTTTAAATCGGGATTTCAACATTGTCCTGACCCTGGGCACCAGCAGGAGGCCAGTCCCTATGCCCCTCAGAGTTTGAGTCGGTTCTAACTTGTCACGGATGTAATTTGGTGCCACTGTTTCTCTTCACATTCAGCTTCGAGAGGCCAATGGTTACACAGTTACTTATTTTCAAACCCAGTCACTTGTTTTTCAAGTTACACAATCAAAGCAATATTTACAGACGAACACAGCTGCCAACGCCGAGCACAATAAAGCCTGTGCACCGTGCTCTTATTTACAGAGATTCAATAAAATCGCACAGACAGATTTGGAGTGTTTACTGATGTCAGTAGATCTGCAGATCCAAAGCCAAACAAAGCCCAGCGGAGAAGTCTGCTCTACTGGCATACATCAGGAAGGAAGAACGCTATATCCACCATGATATGAGCGCCTTTTAGAAATATATGGACTTTACGAAACATAGGGACAGGATGGCAGTGTGAAAGCGGAACAAAAAAGGACCATTTTGAATCGCAAACTCCTGCATTTGTTGCGCCCCATAAGCAGACGGAGCCATGTCCCTCAGTTGTGCAGTATAACATTACAGTAAACCCTAGCTGTAAGCCCTTTACCGTACAAGAAGGTATATTAGTGGTTAATTTGTGTTATTATTATTATTATTAGAATATACTTTATTTTTATTTCTTAGATTTTTTAAAACACACTAAAGTCCAGGACATATGTGTTTTTATAATTTCAAAAGATAAGAGTTGCAGCAGCAATCTTTCAAATCCCATGATATAATAATAATAATAATAATTAATGTTATTATTATTATTATTATTATTATTATTATTATTATTATTATTATTATTATTATTATTATTATTATTATTATTAAGACAGTATGGTTTGGTCTGAATTTAATTGTTGCCCTTTTGTGGCACAGTGTTCCCAAAGGTCTCCCATCGCAGTACTAACCAGGTTCTGCCGAATTTAGCTTCATAGATCTGATGGGAACTGGCTTTCACATGCAAGTGGCACCACAAACATGAAATAGTTATGAAAAAAAGAACGATAAGTACACCACCTTTCACAGTGCAGTCTTAAAAAGTTCCAGTTTCTTTTACTCCTACACAGTGTCAGTTATACTAAGATTAAGATATCTTATATTCGTACCACAGTTGGGAAATTTCATGGTTGCATCACAAGTTAAAGAACAGTAGCAATGAGGAGCACACAACACAAATACTAATTAGAATAAAATATAATCTCTAACTCTAGTATCAAAGAAACAAGTATAACATCTCTATCTTTAACATAATTGAAGAAGTATAACATCTGTACATTTGGCAAAACAAGAAGGAAGTGTGTATTCTAGTGCAAGCAAAGTGTAGTTCTATGTTAGCATCTGTACAATAGCAGCAGTATGTTTACATCTGTACATTAGCAGCAGTATATTTACATCTGTACAGTAGCATCAGTATGTTTACATCTGTACATTAGCAGCAGTATGTTTACATCTGTACATTAGCAGCAGTATATTTACATCTGTACAGTAGCATCAGTATGTTTACATCTGTACATCAGCAGCAGTATGTTTACATTAGCAGCAGTATGTTTACATCTGTACATTAGCAGCAGTATGTTTACATTAGCAGCAGTATGTTTACATCTGTACATTAGCAGCAGTATGTTTACATTAGCAGCAGTATGTTTACATCTGTACATTAGCAGCATGAGGCTCTGGGACACAGTGACTCAGTAAAGTGGCAGTGACATGTGGTTATTGCACGTTCTGATATTGCACCGGCGGATGACATGTGAGATCAGGTCTGCAGTGTTTGTCAGTCCTCATTGTGAGAGAAATGCATATTTGAGTGTTTTATAATTTGCTATTACCAGTTCAAGGACTTGTTTTCCCAGTTTTTATTTGATTTTGAAGTGTTCCAAATATATTATAAAAATGGCCGCCCTTGATTATCAGCTCGTCCGTTTCTCTTAGAATACCATTATACGATTGTCGTGGATGAAAAAAAAAAGAAAAGAGATTTGGGTTAACGGCATTGCTTTTTCATTACTTTGAGCTCATGCTCCCAAGTTTATATTTTAATTAAATCAAAAAGTCACCATGAGTCACGCAAGTTCAATATTTCATAAAGCCATTACCGTCAGATAAGTCTTCCCTCCTATTCTATTCTATTATGACGAGAATAATCATTTTCTGGTTGGATGTTCAATCTAAAAAAAATCTTTTATAATTGCACCTCACAGTTGAATAATTGAGAGAAGCAAAATTGGACACATTAGATTTTCTTTGAAGTTTCTAATTGAAATAAAGCAAGTATCTCTGAATTAAACGATATCCTCAGATTGCGTTTGAACTCCCTGGGGGTTCTTTTGTTGAATCCTCCATCAGCTTTGCAATGCAAGGTTCGGTCATGGGCATTTTTTTCCCCCGCAAATATCTCCGCTTTTTAAAGATATTATTGAGTGTGTTGCAGCCCCCGCAGGCGTTGTGAAGTTAAATTGAATTGGATCAAATGAGGGTGAAGCATATGCACGCGTATTACATCCAAAGCTACAGCAGTTTCAGTGAACGTCTTTTTGAAATGACCCCACTTTCAGAGAGCAATTTTCAGGACAGGATTTTGGAAACGGTGCGGTTAAAATGATTGCCGCCGAATTTCTCTAAAAAGCCGAATGTCAAAGTTATTATTTTACAGCCAGTGTTCCGGTCAGGAGCAAAATTGGGAACATTATTTTGGAGATTCTGGCTTTTGCCGTTTCAAATGCAGGCTATTTGAACCGAGGGCATGGCAGCGACGCAAGAAAGCAAGTTGCAGTGCTTGAAATATATAAAGGGTGTTTTATATTGAAGCAAAGTTTATGGCCCCCATGTGTTTGAGCTATAAATACCATTAGGAGGAAACAAAAGAGGGTGTCGAAACGGGCATTGGAGTCTAAACTTGTGGTAACCTTTTTTTAAACAGGTTTTTGTCGCAGTGGAAAACAGGCTATTTTCTAGAGCTGAGAAACTACTCCAAATGGATTGAGGTTTGAATTATTACTTTGGATGGTTTAAGTGGTGGAAAGCATACATTTGTTGAAGAAATAATCATCTCAAATAAGTGAATTGTGAGCAAAATAATCATGGTTTGGATTTTGGCCATAATTATCAATCCAGTCTGTTATAATGGATTACTGAAACTATTGGAAATTCCTGGTAACGAGAGACTGCTCTTAAATTGAAAGGGCAACAAATTGAGAAAATAATTGAGTCCAACCATTTTGCTCCATTATCTCTTTTAAAATTGGATTGTCCCTAAATTGTTATGATTATTCTTTGCATTCCTTCATTCCACCACTATCAATTGGTGGTAGTGGATGCCTCCTATTGTTTGTTTGTTTATTTTTTTCAATCATTTCAGGCAGGTAATATAATTAATGTATTTACTAGCAATAGCAGCTTGCACAGTCTCCCATGAATGGTCTTGCAAATATTATCCTATTTACAACACAGTAAAAAGAGTACTTTGAACTTGAAATAAATTAACACTCAACTCATATTTTCTAAACACAGACTTTTGACGTTGTAAACATGAAATGACATATTTAAGTTTTATTTCAGACCACGGTCACCTAAAGCACTTTACCATTTTCAGAGTTCTGATACTGTTCCATTCTCAGACACACTGGCGCATCAAAGCCCCCAATCAACACCATTTTCTCATTCCGACCTATTGTGCATGTTTTTAGTGGTAGGGGAAACCGGAGCACCCAGAGGAAACCTACGCAGACGTGGGGAGAGCATGCAAACTCCAGTTTCAGAAAGGTCCAGTTCCGACCAGCATAAGAAACCAGGACCACCACCGTGCCGCCCAAATTCAAGGTCGAGTACACAGTTAATTCCGTAGATAAACCGTAGAAGTGTCCTTGCTCACCTGACAGTCTGCCTCATGAAGCGGTCAGGGTCCTGGGCGGTGAAGGAGGTCAGCAGGGACCCCGCGGGAAGGCCCTCCTCCAGTTTGATGGATTTGGGATTGGGGCTGAACTCCGGAGCTTCGTTCATGTCCAGGATGCGCACGGACACGGTGGCGCTGGACTGGCGAGGCAGGTGGATGCCGCGGGCCAGAGGGATCTCGTTCTCAGCCTCCACCGTCAGCATGAAGGACCGCGTCAGCTCGAAGTCTATGGGCTGGAGGGAGACAAGAGGGAGGGTCCCACTAGGGTTACATACTGATCAAATATATATGGTATGTTCTGAATAAGAAACTGTAAATAAAAGCTTAGTATATTCATCATATGGTGTGGAATTAACTTAACGCAGAAAAGTATCAATACGTTTCCTAACTTATAAGATTGTATAGGTTAACTGTCTTCAACAAATATGCAGTTTCTTAATATCAATCAATCAATCAATCAAAGTTTATTTATAAAGCGCTTTTTCATACAACAGATGCAACACAAAGTGCTTTACAGTTTGGCTAAAAAACAATCCTGCCCATGCCCTCCCCCCGACCGCCCAACAGACCCTCCCCAGACCACACACACGCGCACCGATAAAACAATCACTCCCGTCAGCGCCAGGAGCAGAGAGCCGCCCATAGCCAAAGGGGACAACACAGGACCCAGAGGGGACCCAAAACCGAGGCCCCGGGCCCCCACCAGGTCCAAGAGTCCGACCCCCACAGCCACAGCCAACCACCGCTCCCAGCGCAACTATCACACAAAACATGAATAAAACCAATAGCAATATAATAAATAATAAAAGATAAATAGAATATATAAAAATTGACTAATAAATACTAATCAAAAGCTAATCTAAAAAGGTGTGTCTTGAGCCTGGCTTTAAAAATATGAATGTTCTCTGCTGCTTAATGCTTTTAAAAGTTTTATATGTGTCTCGCCTTGCTATTTTTATTCTTTTTGTCTGTTTGTGTGTCTGTGTGTGTGTGTACTACTTCCAATGTAGTTTTTTCTGCATATGGCAATAAATTGATTCCGATTCTGAATTAAAAAAGGATCACAGTACACACAATTGCACTGGAAAATACTACATACTACTGTATGTATGTATTACAATGGACTCGGGTACTTCTGAAATGTATGGATGCACTTCTCTGACTCCAGTGTTTCGGAAATGTAAACATGCATTACTCTGACTTAGAACATACATTTAATTGAATTATGCAAAGAAGGAGTAGGAGTTTATACATATTTTCTTATTCCCGCCTACTCCTTAAGAGTTCTATATAGCACTTAAAAAAATGGGTCAGTTTAATTACATTAATTTTGTTTTTTGCTCTGAGCTCAAATAAATCTGATCTGAACTGATAAATCTTGATTTGAGTACATTTTGACAGTCTTAAAACAAGATTTACCAATGGGACATGGGAAAAACACCCTTTTCAATACTGGTAATAATTTTCTTTTCACATTCCAAGTGAGGATTTGCTTGTTTCTTAAAAATCAAGACATTTTTGCTCGTCCCATTGGAGAATCTGGTTTTACAGCAGATGAAATCAAGATACATATGTGCTGACTCCCTTCTGACTCTGGGAGCTAAAGAACAACAACAAGGGTTTTCACATTTTAGGCCAATTGAGACTGTGTGTGTTCCTCGCACCAGCTCAAAAATGTTTTTAAATTCTAAAAAACGAAATCAAAACAGGACAGCAATTAGACGGTCCAACCCTGTAAATCTAATTTCTGTTCCCTGTAGAAATCAATCAACCACATTAATCGACTCTGACGTTATTTTTAAACTTGCTATGCTTAATGTCAGATCTCTATGTAACAAATCATTTTTAATTAATAATTTTATCACTTCTTATGATCTTGATTTTATGCTTATGGCTGAAACATGGCTGGACCAAAATACAGGAAATGCAGTTCTAATAGAAGCAACACCACCCAATTTTAAATTCGAATCCGAAATACGAGAAAACAAAAGGGGGGGAGGCATAGCTGCAGTTTTTAGAGAGCACTTTGTCTCCCATAGAATGCCCCTTGGAAATTTTTCATTGTTTGAGTATATTTCTTTTAAAATGGAACAAAAGCAATCTTCTACTCTTTTCATTGTCCTGTACAGGCCACCACAGTCATGTTGCGATTTTATTGACCATTTTACTGAACTACTTTCATTCGTGTGCACAGATTTTGATAGTTTAGTTATTACAGGTGATTTTAATGTACATGTTGATAATGTTGATGACAGAAATGCAAAGGAGCTGGCTTCTGTGTTTGAGACCTTTGGTTTCATTCAGCACGTGAGTGGCCCCACCCACAGCAGGGGGCACACTCTTGACCTGCTAATTACAAAGGGGGTTAATGTATCAAATGTTAATGTAGTTGATGTTGCTTTGTCAGATCATTTCTGTGTATTTTTTGACATGTGTTTTGCTAGCAAACCACCAGCTGAATTTACAATTGTTAGAAGAAGACACATACATGAAAACACAAGTGAACTGTTCATGGGAATGCTAAATTTTGAGAAAACTCCATGCTCTACTGTTGATGAATTGTATAACTCTGTCACCACCAGTGTTCTGACTGTTCTGGACGCCATTGCTCCTGTGACGGTTAAAATAGTTACCAGTAAGAAAAAGGCCCCATGGACTAAGGCAGACTCGGTCAGGGCACAGAAGCAAGAGTGCCGGAGGGCCGAACGGAAGTGGCGAAAGTCCAATTTCCAGGGCGATTATGAAATCTTTAAAGTTGAGTTGGGTGAATTTAACCGGGTTCTACGTAGAACAAGAGAAATGTATTTTTCTGACATTATTGGAGGTTGCAGTAACAATTTTCGTGTTATGTTTTCAACAGTTGGTAGATTAACGAACCCCCCTGTAAAGTTGCCCCTAGAATTTTCCTCTAAATCTAGGTGTAATGAGTTCGCACAGTTTTTCGATGACAAAGTACAAGGAATCAAAAACACTATCACCCCCACAGCACGTATAACAATGCAACAGCCAGAGAAGCTTTTTGAGCTAACTCACTTTGCACCTGTGGATACTAAAACTGTCAAAAAGATAATCATGAGTCTGAGCTCCTCCACATGTAGCCTGGATATAATGCCCTCTAAATTTCTGAAGTCCGTCCTGAGCAGTTTGTTACCTTCACTGACACAAATAGTAAACATGTCTCTGTCGTCAGGAACATTTCCTATGGCCCTAAAAACAGCAGTCATAAGACCTCTCCTAAAAAAGAGCAGTCTGGATCCTGCGGGACTTCAAAATTATCGCCCCATATCGAATCTGCCATTCATTGGAAAAATTCTTGAAAAAGTGGCCTCCCAACAACTTACTGAATTTTTAACAATGAATAATTCTTTTGATATGTTCCAGTCTGGGTTTAGACCCCACCACAGCACTGAGACCGCTCTAGTGAAGGTAACAAACGACATTCGACTTCACACTGATGCAGGTAAAGTCACAGTTTTGGTCATGTTAGATCTTAGTGCCGCGTTCGACACTGTCGACCATGAGATCCTCATGCAGAGACTGGAGGACTGGGTTGGTGTCACTGGCACAGCCCTAGACTGGTTTAGGTCTTACCTGGAGGATAGGAAGTACTTTGTGGAGATTGGAGGCTGCGTCTCAGATCATGTGGCCCTGACCTGTGGAGTACCACAGGGGTCGATCCTGGGACCTCTCCTATTTAATCTCTACATGCTGCCGTTAGGTCAGTTAATACAAAGAAACAAAGTGTCCTACCACAATTACGCCGACGACACTCAGATCTATGTCTCACTGACTGCAGGAGAACATGGACCACTGGATTTGCTCCTTCACTGTATCCAACAGATCAGTGACTGGATGCAAAATAATTTCCTCCAGCTAAATGCAGACAAAACCGAAATCATTGTCTTTGGTCCCCAGAAACAAAGAGAGGGCGTCATTTGTCAACTTCAGTCTCTCTCCCTATACTTCCTTCAGACAAGGTCAGAAATTTGGGGGTAATACTGGACTCAGACCTAAACTTCAATAGCCACATAAAATCAATAACATCAACAGCTTTTTACCATCTGAAGAACATTGCCAAAGTTAGAAATATAGTGTCCAGGGCAGACTTGGAGATTCTTGTCCATGCATTTGTCTCCAGTAGGCTAGACTACTGCAATGGCCTGCTTACAGGTCTGTCCAAACAGACCTGTAAGCAGCTGCAGTACATCCAAAATGCAGCAGCTAGAGTCCTGACAGGAACCAGGAAGTATGACCATATTAGTCCGGTCCTCAGGTCACTGCACTGGCTTCCTGTGGCTCAGAGAATAGATTTTAAAACAGCTCTGCTTGTGTACAAGTCTCTCCATGGCCTTGCACCAAAATACATTAGTGACATGTTGGTGTCATATGAACCAGCCCGGACTCTGAGGAGCACAGGGACTGGCCTTCTGCTGGTGCCCAGAGTGAGAACCAAACATGGGGAGGCTGCGTTTCAGATTCATGCAGCTAAGATCTGGATCAATCTCCCTGAAAATGTGAGGGAGGCGTCTACTCTGTCAATGTTCAAATCCAGGTTAAAGACTGTTCTGTTTGCCTGTGCATACAACTGAAGGATTTTATCTGCATTTCTAATGCACTGTTGTCATTTATTTTTTATTTTTTATTTATTTATTTATTTATTTTTTTTAAATTTCTTGTGTAATTTTGAAAGTTTTAATGGTTTTATTCTTTTGTGTGATTTTAATGTTTTAATTGTGTTTTAATCTTTTGTGTGATTTTAATGTTTTAATTGTGATTCTGGTGTTTGTTTTATGTGATGATTTGTGATGTGGACTGTGAAGCGCTTTGTGTTGCCCTGTGTATGAAAGGCGCTCTACAAATAAACTTTGATTGATTGATTGATATGGCCATTGAGGGTAAGAAGGAAAAGTGAAGTAAAAATAATTTCTAACACTTTGTATACTCAAATAAATATTTTAAAAAGTTTGGAATATATCTGGGGGGGATTGTCCTTTTAACCTTTTGAAAATCCACGGTGGAGCCAAAATGGGGTCAAGAAGTCAGTTGGTTCTGTTATCGATTCGTTTTTTCTATGTTTTGTCCTTCCTGGGTCACCTTGGGGGAAGGACCCTGGACAATTGCGGGTTAACAGCAGGGTTAACAATCACCAGTTCCCTCTTACTTGCATGTCATTGGGAGATGGAAACAGAAGGTTGCATGTATAAGTCTTTCTTTCAATTGACATAAAAATAATTTAAGATAAGATAAGAATTCCTTTATTCGTCCCTCAGTGGGGAAATTTCAAAATCTAATCTTATCAGTTTGAACAAAGCACTTCCATAATGTTGCACTTAACTGTTTTTGTTGATTGGTTTCATAGTTTCTTTACTTTTTAGCTTGTTTTATTTATGTACATGTCTGGTGCAAACTGGGGTAAGGTTAATTAGTCTTTATTGGTCACACCGTGGGGAAATTTCAGTGTTGCATCACTGGTTACAGAACACACAGCAAGAGAGAACTGAACAATAACTCTATACCAAAAAAAAAAACAATATAATCTTTAACTTTAGTATGAAAAAGCAAGTATAAAATGTCTATAATTAGCAGAATAAGGAAGCAATTATAAAAGATACTGTATTTCTAGTGCAAGAAATATATATATTTATGTAAACATATGTTAGCAGCGTGAGACTGTGGGACAAAGTGACTAAGTAAAGTGACATTGGACACATGTTTCATATTCCAATATGGTTTTTACTGCAAAAAAAACTGAATCTGAATTTCTACATACAAAAACCTGTGTCCAACAGAGTGAGGGCGGGTCCCAGCTCAAAAGTGGCCAAAATGACATGTGTTGACATGCTTGCAATACCACCCCGGGCCGATGGGGATGGACCCGGAATGAGAATTATTCAATGCTAACATATGTATACATTAGCTGACCTCTCGAAAACGTCTTTACAGGATGGTCCAAAAGTTGGCTCTTGGTCCAAAGCTCGTTCCACATGTGTGTCAATGCTGAGGGGACCAGTCAGTTTTTTCGGACCAGTCTAGTTTAGTGGCTGTACATTTTTGAAGGCACTCGTTTAAATGAATGGGGCTCGTGCCGGCTGACGCATGCGCAGATGCGTTTTTTTTCACATCTTCCAGCCCCCACGGCCATTTTGAAACTGCCCATAGACCGCGGAAGTTGTGGCACATTAGTTAGAAAGGCGGAGACAGGCGTGACTACGTCCGTCAATATTTACAGTGTGTGGTCCAACCCAATTATAAATGTATAAAAGAAAAATATCAAGAAACTATTTGTGCACGATCTGGGAGCCGCTTTGTTGTGCAAGATAGCTCTGGTCACTTAAGTTGCTTCTATAACCTATGATTTATTTAGAAAGAAAAAAAAGAAGCAGTTAATATGCTTGAAAACCTGCCCATTCCTGCAGCCTTAGGGCATGTGTCAGAAACCTCTCACCCACAACTCCAACATACTTCTCAAATACAGTGAGCAGATCTCCGTGTCCTTGGTGTAGCATCCAAAAAAAAAGCTATTTATAAACCTTGCAGGGAGAGATGTATTACACATATTTGATCCCGGCATATTCTAATATAAAAATCTGACGGCTCACTTAAAATAATGTGCAGCAGTAAATATTGATTTTTGGATTTGAAATGTGGACTCTGACCTTGAGTGGGCTGAAGCAGGCCAGCTCACCAGGGGCTGGACCCGAACAGTGCCCCTAGAGATGGAACTGGGAGCCGCTCTGACATGGTTTATGGAATCTATCATCTGCAGCCAACACCAGCTACACACGATGAGTGGGTTGGTTTGCTGTGCGTTCTGTACTAGCCTTTCCTTTATCTTTAATTTCATCTGATTTAAAGAGGAGGTGTGAGTATGGTATGTATTATAATAGGAGGTAGGTGGTGCTGAGTAGGGGCTGGAGTCTATAGAAATATACAGGTTGACCACTTATATTGTGTGTACATCTGTACATTCACAGATCAAACGTGGGCGTTTCCTGGTGACACACAAAAAGTGCTATTTTTTATAATGGCACTTTATAGCACTTTAAACCAAGCCTTGCCCTGCACAACTTCAATGGTCTGACTTTCACATAGATAGGTATGTGAAAGTCAGACCTCTGAAAGACCGCTCCCATCTCTGTGTGGAGTGAGAGGACAATTGCCCAAAAAATAACAATTGTAAACCGCTTTGTGAGTGTGGTCTGTGAAAGGCGGTATATAAATAAAGATTGCTTACTACTACTACTACTACCACTACTAGGTAGGTAGGTAGTTAGGTAGGTAAGTAAGTAACTAAGTAAGTGAGTAAATAACAAAGTAAGTAAGTAATCTATATTCATATGACGCCTTTCACTAACCAGAGACACAAAGCGCTTTACAATTTAGAGCATTTGTCTCTCACTCCACACAGAGATGAGAGCAAGGTATGGCCACGATCTTCTTTGTCAAAGGATGTGAAAAGGTAAACCTGGTATTTCGACCCAGGTACTATCTGTTACTTTGATACATGTAATAATAAGTGTTGTGCAGGTTCAAAAGATATATATATAAAAATTCAAGTCACTCACAAAAGTTCTGCCTCAATATATATGTATGTCTTTGTGTGGAGTGAATGAATAAATAGCACTGATTACTTAAGGTCATCAAAGGCACGCATTATATCTAATACATTCATATTCAATATAAAGGGTTTTGGTCACATAACAAATTAATTTGATCTATATATGTATTTATTTGAACAAGAACCATGCATATTAATGAACATTTCTGAAAGAGTCAGCAAAAGTGTGAGCAAAGTGTAAAGATGCCAGAAAATAAATTTAGAGTCAACTATTAGCCCACTGCCCTCATGCTAGCTCACGCTAGTTAGGAATTGGAATTATCATTATTTTTGGTTTTTACAAAAAGTCTTAATGGATATTCATGGCAAGAGAGAAGGACCAAGAAATCCAGTATTTTATGATATTGTGAAAGGTTTGTTTGAATCTATATGTTTTTACATTTGTAGTTATTTACACATTTTTACATTTATTGAAATTTTTTTTAGATCGTTACGGACAAAATAATAATCTGATATGATAATAAATAATAATCTGAGTGAACCAGAACTGGATACAATGAAAAGAAGGCAGAGTTTAGTTTTTTAATCGGTTAGCTAAATGGGTTCAAAGCTTGGAGTAAAATAACTTACATAAAAAAATACTAATCATAATGAGGTATACCATGCCATTGTAGCTGAGGCAGAAATGGTCAATATTTCAAAAACTTCAAATGTCAAAATATCCGCAGAATTTATCGGTTGGCCTCTAAAACAAACGTTCCCATAATGACTAAGCCAGATCGGAACTCTACAGACACGCCGTCCTTGAGACTCACACCATCTTTAAATTCAAATGAACTGTGTGTGTGTGTGTGTGTGTGTGTGTGTGTGTGTGTGTGTGTGTGTGTGTGTGTGTGTGTGTGTGTGTGTGTGTGTGTGTGTGTGTGTGTGTGTGTGTGTGTGTGTGTGTGTGTGTGTGTGTGTGTGTGTGTGTGTGTGTGTGTGTGTGTGTGTGTGTGTGTGTGTGCGTGCGTGCGTGCGTGCGTGCGTGCGTGCGTGCGTGCGTGCGTGCGTGCGTGCGTGCGTGCGTGCGTGCGTGCGTGCGTGCGTGCGTGCGTGCGTGTGTGTTTGTGCTGTTCTCTGACCTTGACCACGGTGAGCAGGCCCTCGTTGGTGGTGGGGTCCGTGGGGATGGAGAATCGCCCGGTGGGGTCTCCAGCAATGATGCGGTAGACTGCGCTCCAGGCGGCGGTGTGCGGCTGGTCCTTATCTGTGACGGTCAGGTTCGCCACGATCACGTTGACGCGGTTCTCATGCACCTCACCGAAAAACTGGAAAAAACAAACGGTGTGATAAGAGGCGAGGGAGGGATTATCCTAAACATAACAATGATGTTGTTTGTAAAGTAGGAAAATCTTCGGGACCAAATCTCACCATGTAATGTTTCAGAATGATTTATTTAAGTTTCCTGTCACTTTTTTTCCCGTGAAAATTAGAACAATTGAAAAATATGCAAATTTGTGAACGCATGTAAATTGTCTTTATGCTTGTATATATGTTGTTTAAATAACTAATTTCCTCAATAGGCGTCACTATTGCGAACTCAGCATTCGGTAAGTCCACTCCTAATATTCGTCTATGGTCCAAACGCCACTTTCCTTGTAAAATGCTTGTGGTCGTACCGTGTCGGTGGTGAACTCTGGAGGGTTGTCGTTGACGTCGGTAATGCGGATGAGTGTGGTGGCCGTGTTGGAGAGTCCGTACGTGGGGTTTCCCTCCATGTCTGTGGCCTGGATGATCAGCGTGTACTGCGTCACTTTCTGTTAGGACAAAAGACAAGAACTATGACAAATCATTTTCTTGTTGCTTTGTACTCAGAGTTGGCAAACTGTTAGAGCTGAGTCAGAAAATTAGAAAGAAGGAGGATGTGAGGCCCTGAAAGTGAAATGGATTCTAAATAAGGCCAGACTGATTTATCGTTGTAGCAATTAAAGTTAAGATGAAGTCGCACAAAACCAAGGCCAAATTTCAGTGACAAATTTGATTATTGACAAATAACCTATCCACTCAGCCACAACCACTTTTGGCCAAGAATTGTATGAATGTGGTTTTTCTTTTTTTGATTTTTGTATTCTTTTTTTATAAGGTATAACATGCTATTGTAGAATTTCGGCCAGATTGAAGGAGATTAACACTATGACTCCCAAAAGTGAAATGACACTTCAAGGACTCCCAGAGCCGTCATTTTGACTGCTCCCGTTTTACTTAAATTTAACTTGACTCACTTTTAATAAGTGCAAAACAGGAGAATATATATATTTAAATACAGGAAATTATCATAATTAACAGTGGGATGCTCTGGTTACTAGCACTTGCTCTTCTTTACTCCTTTTCAAAATTAAATGATATTTTCATAAAAATAATAACACATACATAAACTACATAAAAACACAGAACAAGTTTGGCCAATATAGTTGCCACACCCACATTAAAGCTCAAAATCTCCTTAATTTGAATTACAATCCACAACTTTGCTTCAGTACAATGCACGATTTTTTATGTACATTTTTGCTTGGCGTTTTAAAAGGAGCAGACCTTGGTTTCTGCACGACAGCTGACAGCAGTTTTCAATAAGAGCTTCCATGAGTGTAAATGTTTATGTGGAGAGGAGCCAGTGCATTGTGGGCCGTGCCAATCGCTGACAGGAGGAATAAAAGCTCAAGACGCAAAAATCAAAGCAAATGTTATATAGTTTGGGTTCAATTTCGTAGCTATTTTTCTTGCCAGTAACGATAGAATAACTGTGCCTGAGATGTTTTGGATCATCAGCCAGGAAATTGTCTTCGAAGTTGAAAGGCCTAACAAGGTTATCCAACTAAACCAATATCATTGAACCAACACTCCATCCAAAAGATTTTTCTGTTATATCTGTTACTGGTGCATCCCTACCGTGTATGAACCAAGGCCGTCAAACTGGTTATCAAAGGGAAGGTGTGGCTGCAGGTTTTTACTCCAACCAAGCAGGAGCACGACACCAAACTCCAACCATTTCCTCAAGTTCATCCAGTCTTACATTGCAGACTTGTCTTGGTTAGAATGAATATCTGAAGCCACACCGGCCATTTCTAGAATCAGTTTGACACCCCTGACTTGTTACTTTTGTGAGCTGTCAATTAAAAGTGTGTCTAGAACCAGCTCTAGACAAAACTAAATATACAAATGGCTGCTAATGTAGTCTTTATGAGGGTTTGGGGCTGGCTCACCTCTCGGTCCAGCCCCGCAGCCACGGTGATGATGTCACCAGTGCGGTTGTTGATGGTGAACATGTTGGAAGACGGGCTCTGAGGGTTCTGGGATAGGATCTTGTACCGGAGCATCCCATTGGCAGTTTTAGGGTCATCTTTGTCCACTGACGTCACGGTCATCACAAAGGACCCTGAGAAAAAAAATGATGATTTTGAGGCATATTTCTGAATATTATGGCATAATAATATGATATAAAACATGAACATTATTTAATTACAAATGTTTTTACGGCTCAAAAACTTGAATCCTTTTTATGAACCGACTAACCTCTCCACAGATATGACTTGTAACTGCCTTTTTGCCCATGCACAGTGAATACACTAAAGCTATGCTGTGGGACAACCATGAAAGGTTTCTATTATACTAGTTTTGATCTTAAATTAGTCACTTTTGTCACTTTATCACTTTTATCAACTTTATGCCACAATTGTATATAGCATTGTGATATAGAAAAATAAGAAAAATTTGTGATTTACATAATATATCAACACTTGTACAAATGATGAGTGAGATTCCAAAAATCCAATATGATAAGTTAAAATTGTGTTAATTGACATTAAAAATCCTACTTTGACCAATTACTGAAGGAGAGATCAAAGTGTATCTTATGTGAATGTGTGGTACGCGCACCAGGTTTGGAACCCTCGGGTACGGATCCGTTGAAGATGGTGTGTGTGAACTCTGGTCTGTTGTCGTTCTGGTCGATAACGTTGATGACGATATCGATGGGATTTTCCACCTGGTTTCCATTCAGGTCCACGGCGTGAGCGCGCAACTGCAGAAGAGAAGCACACATATAGACACATATTCGACTAAATACAAAAACACATTCTACATTTATGATTTAAAAATACTACAATAGGAAAGGCACTTTGGGTACCTTTGAAGTGAATACATTTAAAGTACTGAATCATATTTTTTTGTGAATTTCACTGTATTTATTAATCACTAACTAGAATAAAATGACAAATTGACATTGTTCATTCAATTCAATTCAGTATAAGTATAAATATTTAATAATATTTATACAATAGTTATTTGCAGTAACCCAAACTCCATGAATCGTTTTCTTCGGTGGAAGATTTTTTTCTAGCAATGGATATACATTTTACAATAATCAATTACTATGTTTGAATTGAAAAAAAAAAGTAGTTACATTTAAAAAGCAAACAAGAAACTAGAGGGTAGAAACTATATCTAAATTCGTCAAATTTGAGTCCCATGAGGTTTTTCATTTAGTTTCTCAAAAACCATTAATCAAACAAATACTCTCCAGTCTTTTTTTTCTACGGAGAGTGGTGGATTTAATTATTGCCTTCCAATTATTCATCTTCACCGAATATTTAAAATGACTAAGCAAAAAGCCAGACATTTTGCACATAAACAGGTTCTGAGGTCTACGGCCCGGTTTGACCCTGTCTTTATCACCCCACTGCTCATCTGCATACAAACCAGCACACCGGCTGCCAAAACAAATACAGGCTTTAAATAAGTATTTTTTTTTTCCCTTCAGACGGCTGGAGCCAGGCATCTGCCCATACGTCAACTATTTAGATTCAGATTTGGAAATGTGGGGTTTAATTGTTTTTTTTTTCGTCGTGCCAATTTAAAAGCAGTTGTGTCAGAAGCCAAGACACTAACCCTACTTCAAGAGCTGTTTCACTATTGAATACATATCTCACACAACAGGATTTTCTTCACTTCTGGCGGCGAGTAAAAAGTCACACCACATGGTATTAAGCCACTGCAAATGCGTGTCAGTCCTGGACACAGTTCCACTTATGCTCCTACTGTATATCTCTCCTTCACTCTGGTTACTCTTTTCCCCACTGGGTTTTTAAAGTTTGTATCCAGCTGAAGAAAGTGGGTCTAAGGCCAGCGGATGCTCTGCGAGTCTGGGACAATTCTTAATGATTAGATTTTTGGGCATCAAATCCCATCATTTTAAAGTATAGGCTTCAGGACATACCAAAGACAAAGTTTTGCGCTCTGGCTCCAATTGATTGACATTGAGAAATTAAGTCCTCACCATTTGGACTTTAAAATTTGTGGTTTAACGCTCTCTGTGATCCTGGTGTTTTTACTTGAACATATGTAAATTTCCATAAGAGCTTCTAATGGCAGTCAGATGCAGTCTTTCACAAGTGAGAGACTACAGCGTTAGCAAGCATGTTGCTAAGGCAAGCGGTGACATTTGCATCTGCCCCTGCTACCACAAGTAGGTCACCCCGTCGTAATGAATGTCCATATAAGGAAAAAAAACAAAACTTGGCTACTGTTCTAATTGGCTTCTTCCGCATTCCGCATGGGTTATGTTAGCACTCTGTTCAACCACTTCTACAGTCTGCGGGAGGTGTTAGATTGTGGATCATTTAATTGATTAAACATTTTGTCGCAAATCATTCACAATTTTTTTGTCATTGGAACACAGATATACAGTATATTACATTTAGTGCCAAATTACGTTCAGAATTTTGTGGCTATTTCAAGTGGAAAGATCTCGTACCACTCTTTAACTTTATAATTATTCATGCTCAAGCAAAAAAGATTGTTCTGCAGCACAGCGGTAGGAGCCGGTTGCTACAAAGTGTTCAAAGAGATCCTTTGCTCCTAAACATGTTGTTAAACATGTGCACTTTATTACTGTAGTTTGTAACTTTTTAGAAATATTTATTTATTTTTGTATGTATGGATGATATGTTTCTGCTGCTTGACACCTACATTTCTCTTATCAATAAAGTATCTATTTATTTATATCTACTATGGGTAAATTGGTGAGAAAAGAAATGCACACGTATCTGTCTTCCTCCACCTCTGTGACCCCAGACTGCAGCTTCCAGAATGCATCTGGAATATGAGATTGATGTAATTGGTGCCAGTCAGCGCAGCCGCCTGCAGCTATCGATCGAGCCAATAAGTCATCGCTTTACGGCCCATGGATCAGAGCAAGAGGCCCTTTAAGATCCTTATGAATAAACATGACTGCCCAGAGCCTTGATAACTCCATCCAAGACATGAATATTCAGACCAATGCAGATGAGCAGGTCGTGACTTCATTCTAACAGCTTATGTTCGCTAAGCAGAGGAATTTGGTTTATTTACTTTATTGACAGGAAAAAGGGGCCCTCTGACTTGACACTCATCCTTCAATGCCACAGAGACCTTTCAGAAGCAGTGGATGTGAAGTACCTGGGAAGCTGCCGTATTTGTGTATATACTGTAAAAATGACAACTATACCAATACTACATACAGCTAATATATATATATATATATATATGTATATATATTATACATATATATGCCATCAATCTCATGCACACATAATAAAACTGTCAAAAAAGGGCCTAATATTACCTTCCATAAACTTCCGCAGAAGATTAAAGTCACCAAAACCTAAGCCTGTACCTCTTTTGTCAAACAGGGAAAAATTTCAACCGTGTCACCAGCAGAAGGTGATCATTTCTATTGTTTTAGTGCATTACTGATACCGAGTCAGTGTACCAGTGATCCTTGAGGTTTAACACTCAACACATTTTTATTCTCATCCTTCTCATCAGTGCTCACACTCTTCTACACCTCTCACTGCAGGTTTTACAAAGCTTTTCAACTTAACTGCATACGACTTCTATGTGAGCGATCCCCTCTATGCCGAAAAGCATCATGGGATTCGTGCAAATAGTGAATTCAGCAAACGAGAATGTGGACAACTGGATAAGCCAACCCACTCGAACACAAGCTCATACAGATCCCACCCCACCAGGGTATCAAACCCAGGAGCTTCTATCTGGGAGGTCACATGCTGTCACAACTATATCATCTAACCCAAAATCAGATTATTTTTGATCGATTATTACCTTGGAATAATCCGATTAACTTTATTATCACTTTGATGATCCACTACATTGTGGAAAAAAGTATAATCTATTGTTAAAACAAATTAAATGTTCTTGTATTTGCAGAATGAGTCTTCACAGTTAATTCCATGCTAAAAATTTAACATATTTTAAGTCATTATGAAAATGATTTTAAGCAATCAAATCCCTGAGAATATTTGGGGGGAAAAATGAGTAAACATCATACACACAGAAATGGCAAATTACACACTTCCATTTCAGTGAACATCTAACATGGTGCGGTGTAATCTGAGGCACACATTTTTTAAAGAAGGTAACTTGTGCTGGTACTTACAAATTCCCAAAACCAACTTTTGAAGCAATACTTGTGTTTCAAATGTAAGAAAAAGTCTTAAGGATTTGTTATTGCGAGGTGGAGAAGGTACCGGAGCCACCCTTGATGGCAACAGACTTTAATCATCAATGGTGTATAAAGACAATCGTGGAGAAAAAACATAATACATGGAATATGCAGCGGGTGGATGAGTGGGAAGTGAACTATGCTCGGAGATAACAGCCGTTCCTGATTCTCACTAATTAAAAACTACATGCAACAACCACCGCATGAAATGAAATAAACTAGGAGCAACAAAAGGTGTGCCAATGCTTCTGCCTGTCTGGCTTTGGCTAATGAGTAAATGTGGCCTTTATAATTTAGAAAATCACCAACAATTGGTTCTTTCTCTCTCTCTCTCTCTCTCTCGCTCTCTACATACGTACAGCGTTTGGCAACAAGAAAGTTAGATTAAAAATACTTTCTCTAGCACGGTGATGCACTCATTAGGTAAACTACTTACTGCAAATCAGCACCATTATTGAATTTGTCCATATTAACGCCCCTATTATAATAAATTATCCCAGAAGAAAAATGGGAGTATGGTAATAGTAGTTTTGTTTCATTGGAAAATTGTTTCTGTATGTAATTGTGTGTGTGTATATATATGGTTTTCTTTGTCATTCTGCTCAATCTTTAACACAAATGATTTGAGCCGACGTTGATCTGAGGTAGATATAGAAAGGGGATATCATAGCATAAAAATGTTTCCAGGGTTTTAGTGACTAACACGAATCAGTTGAATTAAGAACAAAATGTTTCAGTGCTTAAAATAGAGCTAAAGCTGCTTGTTCCACTGACAAATCCCGTTTTGTGACAGTAAAATGAAACTAAAATCCAGATAAATTCGACCTGATTCAACTAAACGCATCACATTCTTTTTCCAGACTCACGTGGAAGTTGGAGATGTGCTCCCGGTCCAAAGGTTTGGTCACGGACAGCTGTCCTGAGATGGGGTTGATGATGAAGATCCCGGTGGGCGGCTGATCGGCTCCAGGGCCGGTCACGCTGTAGCGCAACATGCGGTTCTTGTCCCGGTCCGAGCGAATCTGAATGAAGAGAGCAAAGGACGCAAAAGTTCAATATGTGATTCACACTTCAAACAGTAAATCTTTATTAACAGATACTTCAATGAGTCTGTTTTGGGAACACACCAGACCACAGAAGCCTTTGTCTTACAAAAAAAAAAAGACAGAGCTGATGCAAGAGTGGTTCTTTCTTAATCTCTTTTCAGTCTGAAAAAGCTGACACAAAATGAGACAGAGGCCTAAAAATTCACGCAAAAAGGAGTTTTTTAGCAGAAACTAATAATGTTTTAAATATTTAGCAAATAAAAAGTTAAGCTATATATATACAAAGCAAGTATAGTATGTGTATATAGTAGTACAGTTGTATTTGTAGTGTACGTTTTACACCAGTGAGAGCACGTACTTTATATCTGCTTACATGGCACATGTCTTTAAAAAACCTCAACAAAAAGTACCATAAGAACCAACTTTTGACTCTGAGGAGCACAGCGACTGGCCCCCTGCTGGTGCCTAGAGTGGGGACTAAACATGGGGAGGCAGTGTTTCAGATTTATGCAACTAACATCTGTGATTGTAATGTTTCTTGTCAAGCACTTTGAGTTGCCCTGAGCATGAACTGTGCTATACAAATACACTTGCCTTGTCTAGGTTAGCAAAAGTAATAGGAGGTCCCCAACTTAGTTTTGAAAATAATTCTCCCGAACTACAATCCACAGAGGTGTTCAGCAATACAAACCATAACAACAGGTTGCCGCAGTCTGAAAGTGTGGATATCTAACTTTTCTTTTTTCCGACACAAGAACAGCGAGCTCAAGTGACGCCTCGTCTCTATCCCCTGTATATTTCAGAAAATCCTTTTGCTTCCCCATGTAGGTTGGCAGCCCGTCTGAAGGTAGTTGTCTAAAAACGCTAACTTGGAGATTGTGCGTGACCTAAATGTGTCCGTTTTGTCAGAGGGACTTTTGTGAAACTCTGAGCCAAATGCTTGGGGCTGCTGCCACCGCCACGCGCCAACTGATCACAGCGAAGGCAACAATGCTCTGTCACAACACAGATAACACAGACTGGACAAGTCAGAGAGGAGCCGACACAGACACCGAGTGTGTGCTGGGCTTTCGCGACATCAAACTCCAACTGCAGAAGTTTTACAAGACATGGTGAAGCTGAGGCAGTTACTATTTTTAAGTGTGATCTACAAACAGTCTTGCATTTTAATTGATAACGAATGGTTGCCTTCGTACAGCGCCCGGATAATGCTTGGCTTGGTCAGGACTACCTAGCTGGAGGATTTACCTATAGTGCATGACTTTAGGGGTAGGGGAAACCGGAGCTCCCGGAGAAAAGCCACAGAGGAGAGGATATACAAACTGCACTTAGAAAGACCCTGTTCCGTCTGGGATTCGAATCCAGGACCTCCTTGTTGAGACGAGAGAGTGCTATCCACCCATTTACCATTTTAGATTATGTAACCATATGTAACAATAGCACTATAGGAGTCCTGGGGCCAAACGGGGACAGAGATTAAACCAGACCCCACATTCATAATAACGGCTGTGGTTTTTATAATAATTAAATATTATAGAAGCAAAAAGTTGTCGGTTTTCGGTGCTCGGCTGCTGTGCTTTGTGTGTAGTGCGTCTCACCCTGACGAGATCTTCTGGGAACTGTCCTCTGGAGTTTTCGGGTACGTTGATGGGGGGAATGACCCAGTCCCTCTTGACCCGCCTGAGCGCCCCGTCACCCGCAGCAACCACGCTTCGCCACGGAAACAGCACCTCTGGCACCGAGCGCTGCTGCTGAGTCAGGACTGAAGACCCGCCGTTCACCTGGAAGACACAACAACAGTCCCAGTGAGCCACGTTTACTATCAGACTCCTCTCACCACTACTGCTGCTCACTACACACTTTAATAATGTGACACAAACACATATATTGTCACACTAATTGATTTGTTTAGTGTCATTTTTGTTGACAGGGTGTATTCATACTGTAACATTGTGATTTTTGTATTTGGGTGATCGTAATATTATTTTGGAGAGTATATTATTTCATGATTATTCTTTTCTTGATTAGTATTATTTTAATTATTCTTTCAACACTGTTTTGTCAGCGAGAGAGAGAGGAGAGAGAAAGTTTTTATCATAAAATTGTAACACGCACACCCACAGCCTCAAGAAATGGTGAGCAGCAAGATAAAAGGGTTACAGACTGGTGGTAGTGGTGTTTTCTCATGTAAACGTTTTTGTCTATTCTAACTATAACTAGTCGGGCAGTCAGCTAGCATTGGAGATGGATAACTTGTTCGACAATACATGATTGCTGTACATGAAGGATTCAATTCAATACATTTTTGTATTTCCCTTAAATCACATCAGCAGTTATTTTTGGAGGACTGTACAAAGTTGTTGATTGGCCAACACAGATAAAAGAATCAAACAGTTCAAACACTGTTCAAGAGCCATTGGTCCATAAGAGGCAGATGACCATTAGCCATAACTGATGAGGGTCAAGTGCTAGCCTTTGTGCTTGTAAGAAGTATGTTCGCCTACGGAGGGAGCTCAAAGTCCCATTTTATAGTGTCTTTGAGCGTCATAAAAAGCGCTATATAAAAGCAATGTATTATTATAATGTAGAAATGCATGTGCTTCACCATTTGAATTCATAGATATATCTAATAAGCTCCATTCAAACCAGACTCCAGAAGATTCTGTATGGAAATAAATGTGTTTCATGCCATATAGTATATGGCATATACTGTGAGGTATTGCTACACACAGAATAGCAGGAAAGTAGGAGGCACTCAAAACAAGAATAGTTATAGAATATTTACAATAAAAGCACCAACAGATCAAGTATTAACACAATAAACCCAAAAAGCACAAGAGTCTTGCATTTCAAAACACTTTTGTGGGGAAAGTGCACATAATAAGACCCAGAGGATATACATATGTTCTAGTATGCAGACATAGCCTTAACTGCTCTTCCCTCGAGATTTGCGACCATTCAAATGTCCATTGCAATCTTTCTTGCCGCCTAATATACACGCACGTACGCTAATATGCACACACACGCACACGCACACGCACACAGGGTTGTCCGTCAGTGGGCTGCGTGTGACCTCATTCCTGGGGGATTAATGCAGCTCGTTACAGACGTCTGGTAAATGCCACCACCTGTCACTGATCACTGATCTGCAGACGGCGGCTCAGGCCTGGAGCAGGGAGCCAGAGGGAGGACGGAGGGAGGACGGAGGGAGGACGGAGGGAGGACGGAGGGAGGGAGGGATGTGGACCAAGGGAGGACTATACAGTACAGTTTGCATGACGCTGGCTATAGTGATGAGGCAGAATACAGACGCATAGGTGAATACAGTGTCGCTATGTGATTTTGAACAAGACAGTATTGTGATAATTTGAAAACACAAACATTTACATCTCAATATTAATACAGATTAATTGACTCAATACTAAAACCACAGTGATTTTTGAGATGCTCTATTTATGTTTTTCTAGCCACGCTAAACAAAAAGGTGGTTATGAACAAAAAGGGTTCAATATAAAATAAAAAAACGTGTTCAGGAAATTATGGTTTTAGTATCAATACTTGCTTGATTGAATATCTAGTTTTGATACTGTTTGTACTTGATTAATACACCCAAATTCTGATAACTTGCACCTTGAGGCTTCCTTGCAATGTAAATTAAAAGGTGTTTATGATTAATATCATTGACCAGTAGATTATTACAAATTAGAAATATTGTGGTAAATTATTATAATATTTTGGTTACTCAAAAAAGTAAAAAAGTCCTTTTGAAATATCAAAAGGTTTTTTGCATGATCAAAAGCTGAGGTGAGTAGTAACTGATGATAGCAACTTAAGTGGCTTATTGATAATCACGGGTTGACAGCCTTTCTTGTGTCCTGTTAAAAACCTGCATACAGCCAGACTCTTACAATAGTGCAATATACTTTCCAAGAAGCATTGTGTCATCTTTTGTCCTACGTTTTCACTTACTGCACATTCTAACAAAACTTAGTGGTGCTGAAAACCCATATGTACAAGAAATCATGTCTTTAAATATCAAAGAAAAAATCCTAGCTTGTGATTTAAACTAGTAACACAACAAGGTATTCATTTAAACAGTCATTATAGATAGATCCTCAATATATTCATTAGAAACTGCTTGGGCATTTTTTTGGCAACCTTAATCTCGACAGCGAGCCGCGGCGAAGCATATGGCTCTCTGCTATTTCGGGTTCTCGGAAACAGCCAATCAAGGACAGTGTCTGGTCTGAACATGCAGCAGTCTTATTATCACCGTTGTACAGGACACAGACTCAGACAGATGGCGTTCCGACTGCCTTTGTGTGCAACCAGCACCCAGTCGCCCGCTGTGACGGAAAAGATTTTGCATGTTCATAAACGGCAGGAGCGGAGAGGGAGGTGGAGAGAGAGGCTGGTGTCACAGAGACTTTTGCGATTGACCATTGATAAGAACCGCAGATGATAGGAGTTTTGCACTGCAGGTTTCAATTCCTTGTCAATATTCAGAACCGTCTAGACTAGAGGTAGAATCATAATTGTTCTAACTTATACATATGCTGTATCAATCTGAAAACAGTAGACATTGCTCGGATATATAGTAGGTGCTGGGGAATTGCATCACTAGGTACAGAACAGTAGGAATGACGGGCACCTCAGCATTTTAAAGAAGCAAGTATAGTGCAATATAACATCTAGTGCAAGAAATATATAATTGTATGTACTGTATACATCTATACATGTTAGCAACATGAGGGTATCGGCTAAAGTATAAACTAAGCTAAACTATATATTTTTTATTTTCATACATGGTCAACCTATATGCATCCAAATTCATTAATTTCTAATAAAAACCTCAGTTTCCCCTGTGGTCATAAAGGCAGTTTGGCCTTGTCTCGATAAGATTCGCGTTGTGGCCACAACTCAACCAGAAACGGTTTGATCTGGATTTTCACAAAACAAGCTCAGCCCTGAAAGTTTACATGTATAATGCGGTGTTTACAAGTGCTTTGTAAACATTCCCAGTCTTTTGAGACAGATCTGTGAAGCAGACCCACAAGTAAGTAAGCTTTATTTATGTAGCGCATTTTACAGAGCAAGGTCACCCCAAGCACTTTATAAAGAGTTCCAATACTTTTATCCATTCTGTCCACACACTGATGACGACAAAAGCAAGATGGCGAACACACAGGCGCATCAAAACCTCTGACCAAACACCATCCATTCACTCACTCATTACTTTGAGACCTATTGTACATAGTGGTATGGGAAACCGGAGCACCTGACCACGGGGAGAACATGCAAACTCCACACAGAAAGGCCTGGAGGTCGAATTAGACCAAATTTTTTTGTCAAAAGGACTGAAACTCTGGTCAATAAAGAGGTTTATTGGTTGCGAGTTACCTTTTGTTGATGATGTCCGTGGGCGGCGTTCTTGACGTGCACCCTGGTCTTCCACACCTGTTTAGAGTGTGTGTCTCGAGCGTAGATCAGCAGCGTGTGTTTGCTCAGCTCATCCAACGGGAGGCGCCGCAGAGCGTACACGGCTCCGTCCTGGCTAACCCTGAAGTCTGTGCCGTCTCCCCCGTCCAGCCGCACCCGCTCACCTCCGCAGTCCCAGAAGCTCACTGCAGACAAACCAAACGCACATGTTAGCGCGAGGTCAATGTAGGTACTGTCTTTAGTTCCTTTTAAAGCTGGGGTATGTAAACTTTCCCCATGCGCATCCCAGAGTGTGTTTGCCCCAAACAGCCTTGTAAAAGTAAATTACAGGGAACAATTCAGATCACAACATGCCGTCTTCATCTTCTTAGAAATCAATTTTATCTTTTGCATAGAAAAAATTCCAGTGAGTCACTATTTGACATTTTATCGGCTGAGTGAGGTCAAAAGCATGAATGTGAAAAGTAGACCCAGGAATTAATTAGAAGGATTTTATTATATACAGGATTCCATTTATTATAGTTTGAAAGTTGGGTTTCCGAGCTTTTAAGTGCTAATAGCAAGTTTGAAATTACATCGGTGGTGTGGTGCCAACTGCATGTGAAAGCCAGAACTTGTCAGACCTATTAAGCTAAGCAGGACAGAGCCTTGATAGTACTGTGATGGGAGACCTCTGGGAACATACGGTGCATTGCCACAGTGGGGCGACTGTGACTGATTAAATGTTGTTGAGTGTGGTGTGTGTGAATGGTTGGTGGTGGTCCTCTGACACATACTGGTGGCCTCGCTTTTGACAGTGTGCCCCAGGGCAGCTGTCGCTACAGTTGTAGTTTATCACCACAGTGTATGGACAGCGTCTTTGAGTGTCTAAATGAGCGTTATATAAAACAATTTTTATTTTTTACTTCACAGTCAAGATTACAGAATCCTAAACTAATACTATTTTACACAGAATGGACATTGTGTGAGTGCTTAAGAAGCTGCTGTTTTATTGTCACTGGACAATAACAGAAGCAAGTATGCCACCAGACATGATCCAAGAGGCTTAAAACACACCATTATTATATTTTGAAGAAAAAGCATGTTATGAAGTTCTGAGAGATTAATCCTGCGATTTCCTCAAAAGCTTCTTTAAGTCAAATCAGTGCTGGACGAGTGCTAACTTTAGAGGAGGAACAGCCTGTGCTCGTGTGGCACTAGAACACCAGGCCAAACTCCAACCACCCAGACACAAATCCCCAGCAATTTATCACAAGGCAAGGCTTTCAAACAACAACATGAAATACATTTGTCTGTAGATTTTATTTCTCAAAACATGAGATCGCTTTATGATCCATTCAAATATTGAATTAGAGATTAACTACTTTTTGCAACAGCAGTCACAGCCATTTCCCACTTTCTTAAACTTGTATGTTCATGAAATGGCAAGGGAAGTGTATTTGTATAGTATAGTTCAAACACAGAGCAACTCAAAGTGCTTAACAAAACTGGGAACAATTACAGAAGGCATTAAAATCATAAATAATAACTGTACATTAAAAAGAGTGGAGATAAAGTCAGTTGTATGCACAGCTAAACTGTTTTAACCTGGATTTGAACATTGTCAGAGAAGAAGCTTGTCTAATATTTTCAGAAAGACTGTTCCAGATTTTAGCTGCATAAAATGAAATGCAGCCTCACCATTAGTTCTTTAGATTGGAATAGATATTTTTGAATACACAACATATCATAGAACAAATACATCCATGCATACAAGGGAAAAAAATTGCATGATATTTTGTCATTTTTCCCGCTATCATGTGCTAGAGCTCGCTTCTGTCAGTGTGCCCCAGGGCAGCTGTGGCTACAGTAGTTTACCACCACCGTGTATGGAGTGAGAGAAATATGTCATGTGAATCGTCTTTGACTGTCTTGAAAAGCGCCATGTAAAACCAATGCATTAGTATAAATAATACAACTTTTGTGAATGATCAATGTCACATTTTACATTTTAGCAAAGAAAAACAATACACTGAGATCATATTTAATTAATTGTACAGCTTCTGTGATCTTTTTCACTTCATGCAACTTTGTCATGATCCGACCACTTCTTCATCGTTGCTATAAATATTTTCTCGAACCACTCCGACATGCCCTTTGCACCGACCACTCACCAAATCTTTTATTCATACCATACGTTTTTCCACACACTATCAATTTGTATGAGAACAAAAAGAGCTCTTAAGAAATGGGAGGACATGCTTTTTCCAATGGTGTTACTTTGTGTTTCTGAGAGAAGCGCTGAATAATGAAGGGTCCGTTAAAATCCATGTGCGCAGCTTTGCCCCAGATACTGTGTGTGTGTGTCCATGTGTGTGTTAGTGTGTGTGTTCTTTTGTGTTATTGTGAGTGTTTTAGTATGTTTATGTGTTTGCGTGTATGTGTGTGTGTGTGTGTTTGAGGCTACAGAAGCTAAAGCTAACGGCGCTAACAGGCAGCACAGGGGCGCATGGAGTGCAAATGCTTATGGATAATGAATGAGCATTTTCACTGAGTCGGAGCACCCTCACAGACTGCAAATCAGGCGCAGGGAGAGGAAGAGGTGGAGCGCCGAGCAACTATCTGGGCAATGTTTTAGCCATTGCGAAAACAAAATACTTCTGGAATTGGATGCTCTGGAATTCTCATTCTTTTTTTTTTCATAACACGCAAAACACAAATAGAGGTTAGCTTTTCTCAAGTTAGAATGAAGTGAATCAAACAGGGTTTTTAAAATTACAACATTTGACAATATTGCAAATGTATGGAAATGTCTCGAGCTGTAGTCGACAAAATAAATTCTTTGTCGAGTAAAGACGTGCCCTGTATTCACAAATTAAGTAAGTAAGCAAGTAATCTTTATTCATATAGCGCCTTTCATAGAGTCACAAAGCGCTTTACAATTGTGGGCATTTGTTTCTCACTCCACACAAAGATGCCAGGAGAAGCATGCTAGACCTATTTTACATGTTTTTAGTGGTAGGGGAAACTGGTGCACCCAAGAAAACCGGTGCACCCGTTTTGACCGGGATTCGAAACCAAGACCTTTCACGCAGCCACCGTGCCGAGGCCGAGTGAATAGCACTCTTGAAATTAATCAACAAGATAAAAAGTTCAGGAACAAATACCTAATCTCCTAAATATTTAGCTATTGTTAAAAAAGATTAATAAAACATAGACATGAATTTTATCCTTGAATGTCAAAGTAAATTACAACATCTACAGAAAATTTTCTTAATTCCATCTCATTTTTGTAAATAAAATTAAACAATAAGTCGACCAACACAAATTTTGGTCGACTGAGAAACTTGCTGCACCATTAACAGGCAAAACGGCAAAAGCTTGACATTAAAATTGTCCAAATTATAGAAAAATTAGACAGAAGTAGGGATGCACCGATGCATATAGGCTGAACATCGGTATCGGGCCATGTTTTCCTGGTTAACTACAATCGGCAAATAAAGACATTTGACATTTGCCAATGGTTGGCGCGGGCGAAGACATACCAGTAAAGGGCGTTCGCGCACTTTCCTTAGTAGAAGAAACAAAGAAGATGCCGGCGGTCATGCTTTTGGTAACATAGCGTAATTACAGTCATGTTTTATCTCAAAATCTTGCAGAATATAATGCTTCTAACCCTTGAGATGTGTTTAGATATTTCATAATCAGAATCATTTTTATTGCCATGTAAGCAACAGGAAGCCACAGTTTCACATTCTAAAATCATGAAATGCCAAAATAAATCATCTCAATCACAAATGCATATCATCATCAGCCAGAAAAACACAAAGCATTCATAATACTTGTTCTTGAAACAATAAGAAAGGAGCGAGGGAGAATGTTGTCATTGTTCTGAGACGGCGCTGGTGGACGGTTCTTAATCAGAGACTGGAGTGAACTCTGTGGCTCCAGATTAAAATTGGACTTTGATTCGTGCAGATTTGGTCCTGGGTTAATCTGATGAGTTCTGATCAAGAAACGCATGACCCATCCCATGCTCCAGGATTATGTCTTTACTTCTGTGGGTGAGCGGTCAACCTTCCACAACGGGACATGTAGAAAAACTTCCAGAAAAAAGCAGAGGGCAATCAGAAAATGTATGACTGAAGTATTAATTGAGTGGACAGGGCAAGAGAGGGCAAGTAAGGGCAAGAATCTTTGCTTTGAAAATGACCCATTTACTGCCAAGATTTACATCACACATGTACCTGAAATTGAGCTAAACAATAAAATAGAAACACATTTGTGTATTTTTGGTGTCGGTTAGGCAATCTAATTTGTAAATTTCTTTATATAAGAATGGGGTAGGAGTTTATAAGATTTATTTTTTTCTTCATTCTACTCTTGTTCTTCCTTTCATGGAATGTATTACGGTTGTATTTGCTGGATTATTGCTATATTGTGTTGCATTACCAGTAAAAAGGGAACAAAAAAATGTATAATAAAAATCAGAACCAGATTAATAATACATACAATATATAATTTTGAAATCTTAAAATTGAACGATCCTTTATTCAATTCATTCCTTCAATCAAATATCCCCATATTTCAAGAGGCACTGCACTCGCATCTTGAAAGAAATAGAGCGATTGAATATATAAGACTGTTTTGAAGGTTTTGAAGTATTTCACTCCGGTTTGGAAATTGTATGGTTTGTCGTTTCATTTCCTCTCACTGTTACTTAGCAACCAAGTATCATTTTAGAAAAGTAAAAACCACATACCAGACCATACTTTTTGATGGATTTTCCTTAGAGTGATGCTATGAACTCTGCTTTTTGTTCGGACATAATCAACAGATTTAACTCAGATAGATCCGCTGCTCTTATCTCACTTTTGCTGCTTATTGTCCAGGACTCCATTGAAAAAGAGGTTCTTAATCTCAATGGGACTTTACTGGTAAAAAAAAACAAAACAAAAACGTATTTATTAAACCACCAAAATCTGCTTTTGGTCATAAACAACCGATTTACCAACCTCAGATGTAAGCTATCAGATGATCTTATCCCAAAGTTAGTGACTCACATAGCTCTGATTTTTTTGAAACAATTTACTTAGGGACACAAAAAACGTATTTATTAAACTACCAAGTCCCCCAGCTGAAAAAGCTTTGTTGGTTCAGTCCAGTCTCAGAACAGGTTCACAGCAGCTTTATTATTTTACAGATG